GCAAATAGGTACAAAATCCAATTTATCGGAATTATGTAAACAAGAGGCCTAATGGGCCTGCAGAGCTCACCTGGTACATGTATACCAGCTAAATATCATGCCTCTAGTCCTATTAGTTCACGAGTAGAATATGCACCAAGAAAAGAATCCCAACCACATAGTTTTGCTTTCATTCTTCGCTTAAGAATTCATTTTCCTCGCCCTATTATAAAATTATAAATATGCGTTACAAAAAATGCATCCCTATTGTAAAACGATATCGTCAATGGATAGGAAATCCCAGCGTGTCGGCATGTTGGATATTAGCGTGATAAAAATCTTGTGAAACCTATTCATTGAAAGGCGTTCTTCCAGCTATAGTTGAACGCAACTCCAGACTCGTTTTGAAATGTGTGAAGAACGATTCATAAGCAACTTGCATTGTTCTGAATAAGATAATTACCTTCATATTTTGGTTTCCATATTCTTTTATACCATTTCACACTTCCGTTTTCCGATGTTAAAATGCTTCAGAGTATTTTCTGCCCGCCTTTTAGCCCAAGGTTTTAATTCAAAATTTTCAAATATGGCTGCCTTTATTTTGCATACGACACTATTAGGAAAAGAAACCTTCAATTCCACGCATGCTCAATTGCGATTAAAATATATAACTGGCGTTTGATTGGTTGCTGGCTTATGAAACGATATCACGTCAACTCAAAGTGTGTGTCCAAATGAATTATTATAAGTGACACATAATTTTCAAAGTGGACATTATTCATTTTTGAAAGGAAAACAAGAGGTCCAAGGGACCTGCATTGCTCATCTTGTTAATTTGGGGGATGGGGGCATTATTCCTAAAGGAGGAGTAGAATTTTAAAGAATTTACTCAATTTCCTCTAATGTGCCCCACACTCCAAACCCCCTAGAGGGCCGAGGCCTTACATCTATAGAGACTAATTACCCTTCACGCAACAACATTTCAGACCAAATTTGGGCAATATTCAGTCATTCCTGTAGTAGGTGTGGGATTTTAAAGAATTTACTCTATTTCCCTTTTCCTTTCTGGTCTAAATTTGGTCAACATCTGTTCAGTCATTCATGACTAATAGCAATTTTTAGTAAAAAAGACGATGTTTCCCGAAAGTTGTCTTCAATATTTCTTAAATTAAAGTTAAAACAAGATCCTTTATTGACAACACCCAAAATGTACATTGACAGATGAATATCAAATGTTCAACTTGACAACTCGGTCCGTTATTTTTTTTCTTGTAAAAGGTTTTGCATGCCTACATTTAATTCATTCCAGTGATGGCAAAGTTAAAAGATACACATATACTTACATTATTTTGAAATCATTACACCAATTATTTATTTATTTTTGGATCCTGGGATTTATTGCACTTCCACATCCTGATTTGGAGATCATTTTGACCAGATTTGATTCTCTCCAATTGCCTATAAGGTTTCCACAATATTATGGCTTAAAACGTCACAAAGACATAACGTATCACTAGAGCCAGATGAAACAGCTTTATAATGTAGTGTATCATTTGGCTCTACTGTATAGAAAGACAATATTTGCTTGTGTGTCTTTTTGTACCATCTTTAAAATGTTCTCTTTCATAATTCTTGAAAAATTGTGGTAACAAGAACTGACATCAGACCCGTAAGCAAATGAATGTATATATATATATATATATATATATTTATAAAAGAACCCAACACCATCAACTTGAAAAAGTGCTTTTATTTTTGTTAACTTGTATTGTGAAATGTGTGCAGGATGATCTGATCTTATAATACATAATATCCTCTTATTTGAAAAAAAATATTTGGTCAACAATAGTTCAGACTGTAATTACCAGAGAAGGAGATTCTTCCATGATAGCAAGTCTGAAAACAAGCAAAGTATAATTAATATACCGAGTATTTCAAGATCTTGTCTCCATTCTATAATCCACAAATACACTGGAAAAGTTCAAGTCCTCTTTTTTATGGTAAATGTCTGGAATTTGACTTATCAGTGAAATAATTTCATATCTTTCATCAACAGTCTTTATTTCAAATATAAAAATTGATTCTTGAGATAAAGAATATAAAAACAATATCCATGCAATTTTGAATTCTGATTGTTGTCTGAAGTTTGAACTTGAATTTCAATCATGATTTTACTTTATTTGGAAATTTTCAGATACTAATCGTATGTTTTTTTGGATAGACACAACTTGCTATCTTTACAGTTCACAACAATGAATGTTGATGATATTGTGTCAAACCATTGTACTCAGACAATAGTAATAAATTACATGTTCATTTCAATAAATGTGAATAGGTTTGCAAATGAAATTTTTTTTTTTTCAATTTGATGGTAACATAGCCTAGACTGTCAAAGTGAGAAAATAAAACAATAGATTTAATTTGACAGAATGTTGTTTTTCAATTTTCTACTAAAGAGATTGACTCTATGTTTATGGTACATTTCAAGATAATCTAGATTTAAATTGTATTTTTCTCTGTGTAATTTTTATTTTAAAACTCCTAACATTAAAATATCTGTTACCTCATTTTGAGGGTTGACATGATAATGCATTAAGATAATTATGATAAAATTAGCAATTAAAATTCTTCAATGCCAAAGGGAGATAACTTTTAAATCAAATCAGTGGCATAAGGCAGCATAAAAAAGCTAAGGGAGATAACTTTAATACAAACAAAAATAAAATGTCAAAGTAGCATATATCCTTCAAATAACATTACCTGTGTAAAACATGGTGGACACTCATTTGTGTAAAATTGCCCTATATATAAGCAAAACACGAAAAAAATAAGATTTAGGACGGAAACATGAATTCATTTATAACGGTTTAACAATACAAAGAATTTGTATCATTTAGATGATTTACAACCTTTTGATGAATTGATAATAATCAATTCATACTTCAACAAAGTAAAACATACACTTTTGACAAGAAACAGTCCACAACACATACAACTGTTGTTTTATGTGCTATTAAAAGTAAGGACAGATATCATGGAAGGAGAGACTGATAATTATCATACATTCTACGAATTACAGAGAATTTGGCAATTATAGTTTGAGTTACATAAAATCGAAATTGAATTTCCATAGAGGCTGGAGCCTTCATCCAATGTTTATGACTAGGTTTCTGAAGGATCTGTACCTCATGAAAACAAAATAAAATCCTACTTTTTACACCTTATTTCATATCAAATATTGTAAATGTTGAGCTAAAAATAAACTTTCACCACTGATATTTGATAAATAATCATGATATGTGTACGTACATGGAATGAGGTTGAAGATTTAATATCTACATTGTTTCTAAACAAAACTTGAATTAAGTTTACGCCCTCAGTAAAAGTAATAAGAAATATCACTAGTTTCCCCACAATATACAATGGTATTAATTTATTGAACTGAGCAGTAAAATGTATATATCTTATTCAATATATACACACAAGCAGATATTCATCTGCCTTGTCCTTGTCTGTGACAAACCAATTTTGAACCAAGGGAGATAAATCCCTCAGTACTATATGTACATCAGAAGGATTATTTGGAAACAGCAGGCTGTTTTATTCTTAGCAAATACATGCATGTCTGAGGAGCCAAATCTTTTTGTGAACCTGAAATCTAGTAAAACAAATCACAGTGAACAGAACCAAGTCGTGGTCAAACTAGAATCTAATGAACTTAATTTTGGTGAACCAAGTCTTTGTGAACCAAACATTTTGTGAAGCTAGACTCTATGAACAAAATCTTTGTGAAACCAATCTCAGTGAACCAAGTCTTAGATACATGATGCTTATACAAGATCTTGCCAATCCTGTGAACCAGAAGTTTTCATGAACCTGGAGTCACAATGAACTACAAAACTAAGTCAAGCACCAAGTGAGATGTGAAACTCCAAACACACTGTGAGATGTGAAACTCCAAACACACTGTGAGATGTGAAACTCCAAACACACTGTGAGATGTGAAACTCCAAACACACTGTGAGCATGTGGTAGCTGTATATCTCCAACATTAAATGCAAAATGGTGTACTTGAAAAATAAAAAAAAATATATATATATAGTGGGAACTATATTTTAAAGGTAGAACATTCTAGACTTTGTACAAGATTATATCCAACATCATTGTTTTTTAAGGAGAAATTCTGAATACATAGTAACACTGTCACTCATGTCCCATTTAAAATGACGTTAACTACATCACATTTTCACTTCTTTCTATCAAAATGATAATGAAAATAAAAAGATGCCATTTCTTCCTGTACTTTATGTTATCATACAATTTACCAAAATAACCAGTTTTACATCAGTTATATATCCATAACATATACAAAAACATAACACAAAAGTTTATGTTCTGTAAAATTTGAAATTTAACTTGCCAATATCAAAATATCTAAGAAACTACCAAGAACAGACTCGGTATAAATATGACTTAACAAGTTTTTAAAAATAGAAACCAGAGTATCCTATGTTTGTAAAATATAGTCTTTGTAGCATGATTTCTGTCCATCTTGGAAATATACAATTTGTAAATTAAAGCAAGTTTTTTTATTGATTATTACAGCAACCACATGCATTCATACAGTGTCAGAGGAACATCTGACCAATCAAAACATTTGTAACATCATTGTTCTTAGAGACAGAAAACTCTGCTCCTATTAGTCCATTTATCAAGAATCAACATTAAACAGCACAATTTTAATGTCAGAGGCATCTATGGTATGATCAGTACATGGTTAATATAAAGGTTATTTGTAAATTCAGTGGCCAATCAAAACGCTTAAAACAAAATTGGAGACAGAATGTCTCGTTGTTGAATAGAGAATAATATCTCAAACATTTATGTTTCCTATTGACTGCTTTCTTACTTTCAATCAAAGAAAGATGAAAACAATATAGAAGACCATAAAACTATTTGCAGTATATCACAGAAAATAGCCAATCACAGATATTGTTTCAAATTTACAGAAAATAGCCAATCACAGACAATTTTACAAGTTTATCATTAAATAGGAATTCAAAATCTTTCAAGAAGACAGACATTTAGAAAAATAACAAGAGCACCATTATATATATAAATATTTCTATAACAACTAACAAATACAGGCTATCCATTTACAAACCTTGACTTCAACATCAACCATAGGAGAAAAAGTCATTCATAGCAGGAGAAAGTTTCAGCCTTGATTAGGACCCCAAGTGAACATCAGTCTCATTCTCCATCCACAAAGTTAGGACAGAGGCCATTTTTCACACAAACTTTTCAAATAAGTCAAGGTAGAATAGAGATATTACAGGATAAACGCAGTTGTACTTGATGTGGGCCAATTAAACGGCACAAGTAAATCAGTTTCATGGTTAAAACAAAATAAATTACCAAATATATTTTGTATTTCTTACAGGTGTACAAAGTATTACCACATTCCCTGAAGTGTACAATTAAAAAACAACAAAACAACAGTCAGAAACCTCAATCTGTTTTTGTCCAACTTTCCACAATTACAGCTTCAGTTCTGATCGGAGATGTTCAGTTCTGATCGGAGATTGTCCAGTATGTTACAATGTTTTGACTCTTCCATATATCAATACAGTATGCCCATTTAACAAGAGAAGCTCAGTGTGAGCAATAGCTAGAAAAAGTCATATTCAATTTGCTTTTTCAACAAAAACAACTGGTCGACCACTTCAGCTTTAGATTAAAACGAGTCAGCTTCATCAAAGACTTAATGTTGAGTGTGAGAAAAAATTTGACTAGTCTGTCTATCTGGACTAAACAGACTTTTTCAGTTCTCATCAGCAACTTTTAAAAGTCCTTGTGTGACCAATATATATCTATTTTCTTTAAATTTACACAGTGCTCCATTACAATCGTCATTACTTACTGTATTCCTGCAGTACAGAAAAAAATGACACGTATAACCAAAGGAATTGTAAGGAGTTTTAAGGAATCACATCCTGACATCCTGTCAAACACAGCCATCACCTGAATATTTGAAACCAGTGTAGTTGAATATACAGCCCATATTTACCAGAAATGGAAAATGCACCAGGTAGGTAGCTATGAGAAATCTTGGAGTGTTAATGTACACTTTTGGCCATATTTTAATCCATCACAAGACTTTTGTGTCAGAGGAATTCCAATAAATCGGACAAATGGATAATCAGCCCGTCATTGTCTAATTCCTCCATGAAATGACCATTTCATTAAGGAGACTTCTACAACAGGATGATCACAAGAGTGTTGCAATTCTGTTGTGTTGTGAGTGGAATCAATTATCTCCTTTTGGTCCAATCATTCGGACTTGTACTTTGACTTGAAACACAGGTATTTGCTAGTGGAATCATGGGAGCCATTTGCAGTGTTTGGTCTGCGGTGCTCAAACACCTGAACCGGGTTGTGATGTATAAGATAATGCTCCAATGTGTCCCAACCTCCTCCTACTCTAACCATCAAATGACGGTTCTTCAGGAACTGTAACAGAGGTTAAAAATTAATGCATAAAATGAAATGAATTAAACGTCAATGGTCAAATTGCAAAAACCTCAAAAGTCAATGCAAATAGGTAAATGCTGATATATGTGATACAAGATAAATGTGTAAAGAGAAGAGATCAAAATATGTTAAGTGTGAAAATTAATGCACGGGTAAGATATACGCCTAAGTAAATACAATGAAATAAAAAAAATCATCTTTAGGTCTTAAGCTTTCTTCTTGAAAGGTCAGAGAAATGATAATTATTACAACTGAATAAGAAAATTTAACAGGGATATTTTTTATGTGTGATGAAATTAATTAAATATAAAGTTTCAATCATAGTGGATTTCAAAGAAATTCTGATATAGAAGAGGAAAGGAGAAAAGATAGTAAAAATCTTTAAGAGATTATCGGTGGTATATTTCAGGGATAAGGACACATATACAGTTTTAAAATGTTCACTAAAAAGTGGAATTCATAGGTCAAAATATATACAGAGATCCTGTTCTGATGGAGTCAGATGGTATCAAATTTTTTTTCCTGCCAAACAGAAGGCCATAAACGAGCTAGCATGTACAAAAGATTCTTTCTTATAAAGAAGAGAAACCAACCTAAGAAAACCCTGTAGAATGTTAGGTATCCCGACTATACAACAGGACTGGGTAGAATATTGCTTATCTGTGCAGTTTAGATAAAATGACTATACACTATGAAACAGATTAAATGACATATTAATGATATCAAATCTAGTCATCAAATTTCAATACGGTGCTCATTTGTTTCCTTTCCTACCAGAAAAAATAAAAAAAAGATTCCATGTAACATAACACTGAGATAATATTTCAACTATCACATTTTAAAATGATCAAGTAGAAATTTGAAATGATTTGAATCACCTGTTCAATATTGTTGGTAAACAAACATTATCTTCCTAATCAATGAAATCAATCAATGTGTAAACAATTACCTTTAGAATGACTACCATGTTGATATTGATAGATCAAATGAAATGCTCCATCAAACTAATAGAAATATTTGTGATTTTGATTGAGAGATTTATCTTTGATGGCGAGATATTATACAAGCTGGTGTGACGAGTCAGTGATTGTATCAAATCATGTTTGCTCTAATGACATGGTGGTATTCTGTGAACAAAGCCTGCTATTATGGTCATCTCGACTTACAAGAATTTTGACTTAGTGCATTCAACAGGTTTGAACTTTTGACATAAGTATGCTGTAGGTAGAGAAGTATGATTATGCATTTATTTCTTTTAACACAAAGCACAATCTATTACTCGTTTATAAAAGTTCTGATACTTAAAAGTCTTGAGTCAGGACACCATTGAGAGTTTCACCATTTCTGTACTTATTCTGTGTGTTAGTATTAGCTTAATTAACCATGTACTAAGCCCATACCAGGTGATAAGCCCACCAATATCTACTGCAATTCAATAGAATAACAAGTCTGTTTTGTTGTCCTGTAATAAGCCCACCCCCTCACTCTGGATCTTAGGTAATGTATTATTCTACAGGCTTAATGCAGGATCAATTGTTGTACAATGTACTTCATATAATAAGATTATAGGTAAGAAAAATTATTCTGTTAGGGGGTTTGAACATTTAAAATGATTCCCAAAATGTTACAGAATTCAAATAATGGTTTGAATGCATTTACAGCGAGTGTCTTTTGTGAAAAGGAAATCATTTTCCTTTATAGACTAATATTGATACTAGTACCACTAGGTATTTGGGTAAGTGATGCATTTTACAAAAATGATCAAAAAGAAAGTAATATCAAAATTACTGTAATAAGCCCCAGTGATTTATAACAGGACAAAGAAATAAGTCATGTAATAAGTCTAGGGGGAAACACATTAACCCTGACTCAAACTCATGGAGTAGATTTATAACAGGACAAAGAAATAAGTCTAGGGGGAAACACATTAACCCTGACTCAAACTCAGGGAGTAGATTTATAACAGAACAAAGAAATAAGTCTAGGGGGAAACACATTAACCCTGACTCAAACTCAGGGAGTAGATTTATAACAGGACAAAGAAATAAGTCTAGGGGGAAACACATTAACCCTGACTCAAACTCATGGAGTAGATTTATAACAGAACAAAGAAATAAGTCTAGGGGGAAACACATTAACCCTGACTCAAACTCAGGGAGTAGATTTATAACAGGACAAAGAAATAAGTCTAGGGGGAAACACATTAACTCTGACTCAAACTCAGGGAGTAGATTTGTAACAGGACAAAGAAATAAGTCTAGGGGGAAACACATTAACCCTGACTCAAACTCAGGGAGTAGATTTATAACAGAACAAAGAAATAAGTCTAGGGGGAAACACATTAACCCTGACTCAAACTCAGGGAGTAGATTTATAACAGGACAAAGAAATAAGTCTAGGGGGAAACACATTAACTCTGACTCAAACTCAGGGAGTAGATTTATAACAGAACAAAGAAATAAGTCTAGGGGGAAACACATTAACCCTGACTCAAACTCAGGGAGTAGATTTATAACAGGACAAAGTAATAAGTCATGTAATAAGTCTAGGGGGAAACACATTAACCCTGACTCAAACTCAGGGAGTAGATTTATAACAGGACAAAGAAATAAGTCTAGGGGGAAACACACATTAACCCTGACTCAAACTCAGGGAGTAGATTTATAACAGGACAAAGAAATAAGTCTAGGGGGAAACACATTAACCCTGACTCAAACTCAGGGAGTAGATTTATAACAGGACAAAGAAATAAGTCATGTAATAATTAACCCTGACTCAAACTCAGGGAGTAGATTTATAACAGGACAAAGAAATAAGTCATGTAATAAGTCTAGGGGGAAACACATTAACCCTGACTCAAACTCAGGGAGTAGATTTATAACAGGACAAAGAAATAAGTCTAGGGGGAAACACATTAACCCTGACTCAAACTCAGGGAGTAGATTTATAACAGAACAAAGAAATAAGTCATGTAATAAGTCTAGGGGGAAACACATTAACCCTGACTCAAACACAGGGAGTAGATTTATAACAGGACAAAGAAATAAGTCTAGGGGGAAACACATTAACCCTGACTCAAACTCAGGGAGTAGATTTATAACAGAACAAAGAAATAAGTCTAGGGGGAAACACATTAACCCTGACTCAAACTCAGGGAGTAGATTTATAACAGAACAAAGAAATAAGTCATGTAATAAGTCTAGGGGGAAACACATTAACCCTGACTCAAACTCAGGGAGTAGATTTATAACAGGACAAAAATAAGAAAATAAGTCTAGGGGGAAACAATGACTCAAACTCAGGGAGTAGATTTATAACAGGACAAAGAAATAAGTCATGTAATAAGTCTAGGGGGAAACACATTAACCCTGACTCAAACTCAGGGAGTAGATTTATAACAGAACAAAGAAATAAGTCTAGGGGGAAACACATTAACCCTGACTCAAACTCATGGAGTAGATTTATAACAGGACAAAGAAATAAGTCATGTAATAAGTCTAGGGGGAAACACATTAACCCTGACTCAAACTCAGGGAGTAGATTTATAACAGGACAAAGAAATAAGTCACATTAACCCTGACTCAAACTCAGGGAGTAGATTTATAACAGGACAAAGAAATAAGTCATGTAATAAGTCTAGGGGGAAACACATTAACCCTGACTCAAACTCATAACAGGGAGTAGATTTATAACAGGACAAAGAAATAAGTCTAGGGGGAAACACATTAACCCTGACTCAAACTCAGGGAGTAGATTTATAACAGAACAAAGAAATAAGTCTAGGGGGAAACACATTAACCCTGACTCAAACTCAGGGAGTAGATTTATAACAGGACAAAGAAATAACCCTGTAGATTTATAACAGGACAAAGAAATAAGTCTAGGGGGAAACACATTAACCCTGACTCAAACTCAGGGAGTAGATTTATAACAGGACAAAGAAATAAGTCTAGGGGGAAACACATTAACCCTGACTCAAACTCAGGGAGTAGATTTATAACAGGACAAAGAAATAAGTCATGTAATAAGTCTAGGGGGAAACACATTAACCCTGACTCAAACTCAGGGAGTAGATTTATAACAGGACAAAGAAATAAGTCATGTAATAAGTCTAGGGGGAAACACATTAACCCTGACTCAAACTCAGGGAGTAGATTTATAACAGGACAAAGAAATAGAAATAAGTAAGTCAGGGGGAAACACATTAACCCTGACTCAAACTCAGGGAGTAGATTTATAACAGGACAAAGAAATACGTCATGTAATAAGTCTATGGGGAAACACATTTCCCCTGACTCTACTCAAACTCAGGGAGTAGATTTATAACAGAACAAAGAAATAAGTCTAGGGGGAAACACATTAACCCTGACTCAAACTCAGGGAGTAGATTTATAACAGAACAAAGAAATAAGTCTAGGGGGAAACACATTAACCCTGACTCAAACTCAGGGAGTAGATTTATAACAGGACAAAGAAATAAATAAGTCTAGGGGGAAACACATTAACCCTGACTCAAACTCAGGGAGTAGATTTATAACAGGACAAAGAAATAAGTCATAATAAGTCTAGGGGGAAACACATTAACCCTGACTCAAACTCAGGGAGTAGATTTATAACAGGACAAAGAAATAAGTCTATGTAATAAGTAAGTCTAGGGGGAAACACATTAACCCTGACTCAAACTCAGGGAGTAGATTTATAACAGATAAGTTATAACAGGACAGGACAAAGAAGAAATAAGTCTAGGGGGAAACACATTAACCCTGACTCAAACTCAGGGAGTAGATTTATAACAGGACAAAGAAATAAGTCATGTAATAAGTCTAGGGGGAAACACATTAACCCTGACTCAAACTCAGGGAGTAGATTTATAACAGGACAAAGAAATAAGTCTAGGGGGAAACACATTATCCCTGACTCAAACTCATGGAGTAGATTTATAACAGGACAAAGAAATAAGTCATGTAATAAGTCTAGGGGGAAACACATTAACCCTGACTCAAACTCAGGGAGTAGATTTATAACAGGACAAAGTAATAAGGCATGTAATAAGTCTAGGGGGAAACACATTAACCCTGACTCAAACTCAGGGAGTAGATTTATAACAGGACAAAGAAATAAGTCATGTAATAAGTCTAGGGGGAAACACATTAACCCTGACTCAAACTCAGGGAGTAGATTTATAACAGGACAAAGAAATAAGTCTAGGGGGAAACACATTAACCCTGACTCAAACTCAGGGAGTAGATTTATAACAGGACAAAGAAATAAGTCTAGGGGGAAACACATTAACCCTGACTCAAACTCATGGAGTAGATTTATAACAGGACAAAGAAATAAGTCATGTAATCACATAACCCTGACTCAAACTCAGGGGGAAACACATTAACCCATGACTCAAACTCAGGGAGTAGATTTATAACAGGACAAAGAAATAAACAGGAAACATGAAATAAGTCTAGGGGGAAACACATTAACCCTGACTCAAACTCAGGGAGTAGATTTATAACAGGACAAAGAAATAAGTCTAGGGGGAAACACATTAACCCTGACTCAAACTCAGGGAGTAGATTTATAACAGGACAAAGAAATAAGTCATGTAATAAGTCTAGGGGGAAACACATTAACCCTGACTCAAACTCAGGGAGTAGATTTATAACAGGACAAAGAAATAAGTCTAGGGGGAAACACATTAACCCTGACTCAAACTAGGGGTACACACATTAACACATTAACCCTGACTCAAACTCAGGGAGTAGATTTATAACAGGACAAAGTAATAAGTCTAGGGGGAAACACATTAACCCTGACTCAAACTCAGGGAGTAGATTTATAACAGGACAAAGAAATAAGTCATGTAATAAGTCTAGGGGGAAACACATTAACCCTGACTCAAACTCAGGGAGTAGATTTATAACAGGACAAAGAAATAAGTCTAGGGGGAAACACATTAACCCTGACTCAAACTCAGGGAGTAGATTTATAACAGGACAAAGAAATAAGTCATGTAATAAGTCTAGGGGGAAACACATTAACCCTGACTCAAACTCAGGGAGTAGATTTATAACAGGACAAAGAAATAAGTCTAGGCGGAAACACATTAACCCTGACTCAAACTCAGGGAGTAGATTTATAACATTAACCCTGACTCAAACTCAGGGAGTAGATTTATAACAGGACAAAGAAATAAGTCATGTAATAAGTCTAGGGGGAAACACATTAACCCTGACTCAAACTCAGGGAGTAGATTTATAACAGGACAAAGAAATAAGTCTAGGGGGAAACACATTAACCCTGACTCAAACTCAGGGAGTAGATTTATAACAGGACAAAGAAATAAGTCATGTAATAAGTCTAGGGGGAAACACATTAACCCTGACTCAAACTCAGGGAGTAGATTTATAACAGGACAAAGAAATAAGTCTAGGGGGAAACACATTAACCCTGACTCAAACTCAGGGAGTAGATTTATAACAGGACAAAGAAATAAGTCATGTAAACACATTAACCCTGACTCAAACTCAGGGAGTAGATTTATAACAGGACAAAGAAATAAGTCATGTAATAAGTCTAGGGGGAAACACATTAACCCTGACTCAAACTCAGGGAGTAGATTTATAACAGGACAAAGAAATAAGTCATGTAATAAGTCTAGGGGGACACACATAAACCCTGACTCAAACTCAGGGAGTAGATTTAAACAGGAACAAAGAAATAAGTCTAAGTCATGTAATAAGGGGGAAACACATTAACCCTGACTCAAACTCAGGGAGTAGATTTATAACAGAACAAAGAAATAAGTCTGTAATAAGTCTAGGGGAAACACATTAACCCTGACTCAAACTCACAGGACAAAGAAATAAGTCTTAACCCTGACTCAAACTCAGGGAGTAGATTTATAACAGGACAAAGAAATAAGTCTATGGGGTCTAAACACATTAACCCTGACTCAAACTCAGGGAGTAGATAACAGAACAAAGAAATAAGTCATGTAATAGTCTAGGGGAAACACATTAACCCTGACTCAACCTCTATTTTAGTAGATTTATAACAGGACAAAGAAATAAGTCTAGGGGGAAACACATTAACCCTGACTCAAACTCAGGGAGTAGATTTATAACAGAACAAAGAAGTAAGTCATGTAATAAGTCTAGGGGGAAACACATTAACCCTGACTCAAACTCAGGGAGTAGATTTATAACAGAACAAAGAAATAAGTCTAGGGGGAAACACATTAACCCTGACTCAAACTCAGGGAGTAGATTTATAACAGGACAAAGAAATAAGTCTAGGGGGAAACACATTAACCCTGACTCAAACTCAGGGAGTAGATTTATAACAGAACAAAGAAATAAGTCTAGGGGGAAACACATTAACCCTGACTCAAACTCAGGGAGTAGATTTATAACAGGACAAAGTAATAAGTCTAGGGGGAAACACATTAACCCTGACTCAAACTCATGGAGTAGATTTATAACAGGACAAAGAAATAAGTCTAGGGGGAAACACATTAACTCTGACTCAAACTCAGGGAGTAGATTTATAACAGAACAAAGAAATAAGTCTAGGGGGAAACACATTAACCCTGACTCAAACTCATGGAGTAGATTTATAACAGGACAAAGAAATAAGTCTAGGGGGAAACACATTAACCCTGACTCAAACTCAGGGAGTAGATTTATAACAGAACAAAGAAATAAGTCTAGGGGGAAACACATTAACCCTGACTCAAACTCATGGAGTAGATTTATAACAGGACAAAGAAATAAGTCTAGGGGGAAACACATTAACCCTGACTCAAACTCATGGAGTAGATTTATAACAGAACAAAGAAATAAGTCTAGGGGGAAACACATTAACCCTGACTCAAACTCAGGGAGTAGATTTATAACAGGACAAAGAAATAAGTCTAGGGGGAAACACATTAACCCTGACTCAAACTCAGGGAGTAGATTTATAACAGGACAAAGAAATAAGTCTAGGGGGAAACACATTAACCCTGACTCAAACTCAGGCAGTAGATTTGTAACAGGACAAAGACATATTAAGAAGCCTAGATATAGTGTCGTATGAATATGGTGAAGTTTCTGATGGCTTACCACTGATAAAAACATGGTGAGTTTTAAGTGGCATTTCTATTTCCCTACCTTAATATAGGTCAGAGGACTTACACGGGTTCATTAGACCCAAATGTAGCGAACACAATCAGAACATGTTATAGAAACAGGATATAAAGGTATCAGTTTAAAAAGAAACTTACCCGAATCTGAACAACTTTGCCGAAGATGAGATATTTTCCCTCGCCGAGTTTCTTGACATGATCATGGCATTTACACATGAAGGCTATTCTTTTGACCTACAAATACACAAACACAAACCCTCATTTCATGTCAGTGATGAACACTTGAAATACAAACCCTCACATGGACATCCAGTTATAGTGTAGTCTGTTCTGTTTTCCACTGTTTACCTTTTTATATCTATTCATTTATCAAAAGGTAAGAAATTTCCATGGATTCCAAATCTAACTAATTCTCCATATTTAGCTTTGATCAGTTGTAAATCAAATATTTTTCTTATTGATGTCCATTTTTTACGTCTTCACAATATCTTAACTTTTTTGGAAAGGTAAGAAACACGAAATTCCTTAAACAGATTCAAAGGGATATCAATATCATCGCTTGATGTAATAGTATCAGATCAATTTATGTTACAAAATATTTCAGAATAACTTCACTGATTTCTGACACAAACTACTATGTACCATGATATAACATACAAACTGATTTCTAGAAATTCTGATAGTAACTCAGTTTACATGAGCTTCTGTTATATTAATTTCTCACATCACATTAATGTTAGAAAAAGCTGCAGCAGATTTCCAGCTGTTAAAAAAAACCATTATGTAATTCCATATAAAGGTAAACAAACACAAAAATCATCAATCATAACAAAACATGCTCTCTAGTTCAGGAAGTAGTGGAACCCTCTGCAAACTACAGTGGACTTGTCCACAACAAAGGGTAACCCAGTTCATTTCATCAATTAAGGTACCATAGATTCATTAGATTTTTTGTTCCAGTAAAACCGATCCAGACATGTCTATTGGTAAAACATGCAAAAATATAAAAGTTATCATTGAAACATGCAAACAAAATGAATGTTAAGAGGTTGATGATAAATATATTTCATTATTTCCAACACATTATATTAAAAATAATTAAGCTTTGAATGATCACACAGTAGAGGGATGAATTTTAAGATGGTGAGGAGCGAGTTACATATCTAAGGTCACGCAGTTTATGTTAGGGGTGCCACTTCATCATTTTTTTCGTTTTATATCAGACCCAAACATGTACTTTTACATAAAAAAATACACAGGGACTTGGAAATCAGCCAGGAAACATATATCAAAACTTAACATTATAGAAGAAGTCTTCAATAGACAGCAATATACAATTTTTTCTCCACATCTCCACAAGGTATGTAATTTTCTTCCCATCTATCAACAATTCACAGTGATCAAGTGATCAGACATACATTTCTATCGTCTACATCCTCAACACAAGCAAAGGAGAACTTGGTGGAAAAGGAGTCAGCAGAGAGCTGTAGTGGGAACAAGATCAGGGGCATCAAAAACATGACTGCAAAAACAACACTCACAAGTGCTAAAATATGTAAGCTTTCAGGGAGAGTTTGTTGAAATTGAGGTGTAAATAAAATTTGATTGTGAGAATGCAAAATGGTGGCTGTTCTGTACCTGATCTAACTGGTCACCATCATGGCCTCATTCAATTGTTCCTTCTTGTTTTAACTATCTTTTCAAAAACTAAATGATCCAATAATTCACTTTGTTTATCATCTTCACCATTCTTCCTTTTTATATACATACACTATACTCATCCTTCAGTAGATCCAAGCAATCTACACACAACCATGTAACCTCTGGCATGGTCAAATAAGACGAAATAGTATTTCCTGGTAATAATTCTACTGAACAAAAATTACGTGTTTTTACCTGGGCTTAGTGATGAGTATAAGAAAATTTCCAGAGAAAACAATTACAAGATAATGCAATCTGTTATCATTCTTATTGATTGACGCAGTCCCCTGAAATATTATTTATAAAATTCTATTTGCAATTCTGCCTGATTCACAAGCCCCTGTGAATGAATTTTGCATGATCAGATAAACAAACTCACCCTTGCTAAGCACTCCAAATAGTGCTCACAACCCATTCCAAATCCACACTACGTAACAGCAAAAGTGTATGTCATATATAGGTGTATATATAGGTACATGTATCTATATTTATATATGTATGTCAATCTTGAAAAACATTGTTTAACAGAGGCAAACAAGGATAAAAGTAACACAATGTCTTTTCATATTCACAAAAGTTTGATAATGAATATATACATCCACAAATACGACATTTGTTTACAAAATACAATGTAAATAAACAATTAACACTGATCATGACAAGGAACAACATTTCTGAACATTTTCACAATTTTTTTTCAGTAACTTAGTTTGATATACTGATTACAAGAAAATGGTTTTCGTATTTGTGTTTTACAAAATCTTCAAGGAATCTCAATATTAAAAACAAAATATACACAAAGCAGCACAGTATATATCTAAAGCGTATTGGTGTAGAATTAGGATTTTACAAAAAGTCAGGTGGGATTCATAATGTAAATAAAGTAATGACAAGTAAATATGGAGGTTTCAAAGCTGGGAATTTTTAACTTTAAGTGTATATGTTACCTTTCCTAGTTTTCAGAGAAATCTCCCTACTCTTATTTCATATGAAATATTTTTGAATAGCTCAATTTTTTTTAATGTTTCACTTTCAAATCTTTAAATAATTTAAGATAAAATATAACTCCATGTGTCTGTGAAAAACTCTCCACCTGAGATTATGAAGGTCTAACAGATGGAGCTATCAATACCACATGTCTCCACCTGAGATTATGTAGGTCTAACAGATGGAGCTATCAATACCACATATCTCCACCTGAGATTGTGTAGGCCTAACAGATGGAGCTATCAATACCACATATCTCCACCTGAGATTGTGTAGGCCAACACCCTAACAGATGGAGCTATCAATACCACATATCTCCACCTGAGATTATGTAGGCCTAACAGATGGAGCTATCAATACCACATATCTCCACCTGAGATTGTGTAGGCCAACACCCTAACAGATGGAGCTATCAATACCACATGTCTCCACCTGAGATTATGTAGGCCTAACAGATGGAGCTATCAATACCACATATCTCCACCTGAGATTGTGTAGGCCAACACCCTAACAGATGGAGCTATCAATACCACATGTCTCCACCTGAGATTATGTAGGCCTAACAGATAGAGCTATCAATACCACATATTAGGTTCTAACAATAAAAACAGTATACTACTATTGTACCTAAGCTTCTGTACTGTAGATGCAACTATGTTTTAAACAAACAAGGATCATTAATATGCAGCCTATGCCACAGAATTATGTGACAACCATTTAGATGTATATCAAGTGTGTGTCTAGGTGTAAAAAGTCGTGTCTTTTCTACATTCTACTGGTGATGTGCATGTAGGGTTTCATATCTAGAACAAAACAGAACGATGATGATACAAAAATGGAATATATATAGGCAATATCTCTACCACAAACATGAAGACATGCTTGTTTACAGTTTCATCTCAGAATGAAACAAAGAATTCTTAAATATAGAAGCCGTAGAGTCATTTGTAGAAGCTAATTTGATATTGGGAAATGGTCAGACATTGATGAAGTGGTAAGACAAATATTTATTTAATTTTCAAATTAAAAATATATACAGACATTGAATGTGTTCAACTATTTAATGAAGACATGTCATATTTTATGATATCTTTCAGCACTCTGCTGTAATGATATCTTTCAGCACTCTGCTGTAATGATATCTTTCAGCACTCTGATGTAATGATATCAACATTTGATATTTTGGACATTTTCAATCAACCTTATTAATGTTTTTAATTTCAGGTAGTCAATTTTAAAGTTTTCTTTACAGATAATTTCAATCTGCCAGAGGCAGAGTTAAAGTTTTATAAAATTCAATCCATGGTTATAGATAAAAAAATATAACAAGTTGGTGGTCTTGTTTAAAGTTTGATTTAAATATAGCACTTTCAGTGTAAACTGCTGATTAATATAAAACACTTCTACTGCATCATTAACATCATACATATGTATCATTTTAAATTGCATTGTGACTCAATTCAAAGTTGATATTTTGAAAATTGGTTAATTAGTTATCAAATAAGCAATAAGCAAGTATCTATCCAAAAAAAGAGACACGTAGAATTTCTAGGGATGAAGTTGTCAATCCCGGCAAAACAAACATTAGGGATTCTAAGGGATGACTTACTATCAATATGTGATGCTTAAAAAAATTCAGATGATACAAAGGTAACTAATATGGCTGATGTAAGACAAATGTGTTACCATGGATACTGTCGTTAGTGGGATGATGGTCTTACCTCCTCATGAAATATCCACCTACGGAGGTTAGGAATCAGTCCTTTGTCATGTTTTATCTTCTGGATCTTTAACAAATTGTTATAGTGTCATCATATTAATTAAAATACAACTGTTTTACACATATCTTTTTCTTTTCAAACTTTTTCACCATCAGTATCTGCCTTCAACATCTGATGTACCATAAACCATTCCTTTTTTTAATTTGTCCTTTGTTTGCAATACACGGTTGATTTGTCAGTTATAAATAATAGACAATTTGTCCTTTGTTTACAATTCATGGTTGATTTGTCAGTTATAAATAATAGACAATTTGTCCTTTGTTTACAATACATGGTTGATTTGTCAGTTATAAATAATAGACAATTTGTCCTTTGTTTACAATACATGGTTGATTTGTCAGTTATAAATAATTGACAATTTGTCCTTTGTTTACAATACATGGTTGATTTGTCAGTTATAAATAATTGACAATTTGTCCTTTGTTTACAATACATGGTTGATTTGTCAGTTATAAATAATAAACTAACATTACAGTATTTCTTGAACCAAGTTACATTATACATGTATATGAAATATTTTTGTTCTGACATCTCAACCAACAAATGACAAAACATTTCTATATAAAAAGACTTTTCTCAAAAGTTTACAAAAAATGTCTATATTGAAAAAAGACCCACCATCACCTGTCCAGCAAGCACTTAGCCAGCTGTGACACAGATATAGTGTAAAAAAATTGAATTCTGATATTTGTGATGACATAATAAAATTATATATTTCACTATTGAGGTAAAGGACAAATATTCATTTTTGTATGCAGTTAGTTTCAATCAATATCGACATAAAAACTATATCACACTCTTCAATTCAAAGTCAGAATTCACTATGTGAAGGTACAATAAAAAAATTCTAGTTTACAGGTTTATTGAAAGATCTGAAAAAGACTGAAATATCTGATAGTTTGTTCAAAACGTGTTTATATCTTCATCAACAGTATATCCAATATTTTATTGGTAAATAAATATGTTAGCATTATACAAACCATTTTTCAAATTTTGTAAAAAAAACATAAATAACAAACACAATCAAACAATTAATTTAAGTTACCAGAAATCTTGCTTTGAAGATGAAGAGATTAGCAATAATAAAAAACAAAAACAAAAACTGATGGAATGGCCATGTCAATGTGTCTTAATGCAGATATGAAGATGAATAATAATGATTAAAATAAACAGATTTAAATTAATTTTCACCAAACAATGGGACCTAAAATATATATACAGATAAACCTCATTATCTCAAAGTCATGTAGCACTCTAGACCCCCATTTGGTCCGAATCTCAAAGTCATGTAGCTCTCTAGACCCCCCATTTGGTCCGAATCTCAAAGTCATGTAGCTCTCTAGACCCCCCATTTGGTCCGAATCTCAAAGTCATGTAGCTCTCTAGACCCTCATTTGGTCCCAATCTCAAAGTCACTTAGATCTCTAGACCCCCATTTGGTCCCAATCTCAAAGTCACTTAGCCATTTGGTCCAAATCTCAAAGTCATGTAGCTCTCTAGACCCCCATTTTGTCCCAATCTCTAAGTCATGTAGCACTCTACACCCCCATTTGGTACCAATCTCAAAGTCACTAAGCTCTCTAGACCCCCCATTTGGTCCCAATCTCAAAGTCATGTAGCTCTCTAGACACCATTTTTTTCCTAGCCAAATTTAAGACTAAACATTCAAACTTGATTAACTCAATTACTTGGATCGTTCAGAGTTTGCCCACAAGCCCTTTGACTTTGAAATAAGGAAATTTGTCTGTAATTGTCAAAATTCAAAGTGCTATACAGTATGGTTTGTAAATAAAAGAAACCCAGTCACAAGCCCACCCTGGATTAATTGTAAAATGTAGTTTCAGTTGGAATGATAACAAATATCTATTACCATTATGTAATAATCTCATCTCCTTATTTTGAATCTGAGTTTATGTGTATGTGTGAGTTCCCTGGCATTATTGTAGGCAGTTTCAGAAGGTCATAGACCTGATCAGGTGGGTGGCAGAATAGAATATTGGACTAATGAATTCATCAATTGTGCATTTAATGCTATCAAAGTTGGATTTCTCATCAAATTGCTTCCTATTACAACATATTAGATAAGTACCATGCAGACAGCCTGGATGCCATTTCATCTCGGACTCTAACAAGAGTTCCCGTATATTCCATGAATCAAAAGTTGTGCCTCATATCAGAGGATTCAATTCTCCTAAAGCAATATCTAAACTGATTATAAAGCCATCCAAATGCTTCTAGGGATAAAACATTAATAACATATTTTCTCCTTTTTCTTTTGGTTCAGTTTAGCAGGAGATTTACTGGCTGTATACAAAAGGTTTTCCAAGGCAAGGCATACTAGTATTGTAAGCTGAATTCTAACTTAACACTCCCTTGTGATACAAATTCATGTATAGATACAACTGTACATGTATTTCAAAAAGGAATATTGAAAAAAATCCTCAAAATATATTGACAAAATATATTTCAGGGGATATGAAAATTAATGTCACAAAAATTAATAATTACTGTGGTGAACCTAACTACATTTATCATATTAGTTCACATTAACATGAAAGCAGACAGGCTATATATAGAATATGACAGCCTGTCACATAACCTACCGCCATATCAAAATTCCAAAAGTTTGGAATCAGACCTCCATCACGGAAAGACACTTCCTCAGTATCCGACTAAAATGGGTAATGAATATGCATGAGTTTGACATGAAGTTGCAAAATAAATTAAAAGCTCTCATATAAAAAATACAATACAGAATAGCATGCATTTTTGACATCAGTATACAAATCCAGTTATAAAACACACTGAAACATGCTGTACAAAAATCAATCTTTTTTCATGTATAATACATGATTATTCTAATGAATGTTCTATATATTTCAAAGCAACCACACTTAAGTCTTAATTCTTAAACTATTAAGATCACATTATATGCCACTTTCTTGTACATTTTGAATATCTCATTCATTAATTAACTAAAAATAAATAACACGTATCTTTAAAAAAACAAAGACTTAGATGTGTCAGTGAAAATCCAAAAAGTACAGCATAATTATGTTGCTGATAAATCGCTTCATTGCACAATAGTTAACACAGCTTCTTATGAATTTTTAATTTTCAAAAATATCAATAATTAAGACCAAAACTGACAATCTGAATTGACATCTTATTATTCCTCCAGTAAACTTTGATGCAGGACAAAAATGAAGAAGTCTGACAGAAAACTGAGAATGGCTAGTTTTGGTATTAAAAATATATTGTCAAGATTTTGGATGAAGCAAATTCTATTGATCTTATGTAAATGACAATTTCAAATATTCTATTGGCATAAAGCAATATCTATAAACAACTTCTGTCTGATATTGTTATCATAAATCAAACATTTAAGCTGTGTGCAGCAAAATTACTTAAGAAGGTTTTTGCAGCAGATAAAAAAAAAATCACTGAATCATTGTGATATTTAGATGATTAGTTTTATTGAAATAAAATTTGAATTTGGTAACAAAACAAACACTTCAGTCTGACAACTTCAAAAATGATTTAAACAATTTCAACTGAGTTTCTTAATATAGTGGTGATATAAAGCTGTTATCAGGTTATCATTAATTCTGGAATATTGTGGTTAAGTTTGCTACCAGGAACCAGCAACAACACCAAACAGTAAAACAACTCTCAAGGTCACTCAAAAGACATATCAAGTAAGAAACACACTCTGTGAAATCTGTTCTAAACACTTAATGTCACAAATTAACTGCAGTCATGTTCCTCAACGTCTCAACAATCATTTCACCGATCATATTTCTGATGAACATTCCTTAAGGCAACATGCTACCTTATTTTAAAGTACACAGCATTCAAATCTCAAATGGTTACCTCCCTTATAGAAAACATGATCATCAGTATGAATGTACATCTATTCTTTTGTTGTATTTTAAAGATATCACTGATAATGTTGATTTACTAAACCCTTTTGATAATATATGCTATTTCAAAGGCACATGTATGTTTATGCAACTATCTTTTGAAGAAGAGATTCATTTCACAACAAAGTAGCATATATCCTTAAGTTACAGCATGACAGCTAAAAGTACATTTAAATATTATTGAATTAATTTTTTCAAATGAAGTAAAACAAATCATCTGGAAGAATATACAAATTATCCATACCTACATGGCATTTTTTAACAATCAACAAATTTCTGTTGACAAATAATAATAGCCTGTGCTTTCAACAGACATGGACCAATTCACTTAGGAGATATGAGCTGAGGTAACTCTCTTTATCTGGTGACACTGATGGACTGTCCCATCTATATACATGGACCAGTTCAAAAGGATTCAGATGGAGACACAATTCACAGCACCCATTACCAAAGCAGGTACACTTTTTAAAATTCAAATCATTATAATCAAGTTCTGAATTATCTAGCTCATGAATATTCACAAACACTCATTGGACATGACACTCTAACCTTACTGCTAGCTCCTCATAGTGAGGTGGATGTCTTTAACTTGCTGTTAATTTAAGACTCTTTCTATCCAAACTTTGCAGAAAATTATAATGAAAGTAGAACACCATAATTTGATAATAAGCAATTTTAAAGTACCAAAATATTTGCCATGACTAAGCAAAACAACTTCATGCTTATTGAATTTTTCCCCCTCAACTTTAGTATCAAGTTACAAATTGAAGAGGTAACATGTACATATATATTCTTTTAAAAAATAAGAAAATAAGAAAAACCAAAATGGTTGTGCAATTTTGATAGGAAAAATGGCTTGCCAATCTTTCTCATGTCAAAAGTGTGACCTGGAGTGAATTAAGTTTTGGTACATAAAAAGCTGGTCACTCTTGGATTTTTTATTTGAAATTTCTGGAAAAAAGTCATCTATTAGTGTGCTTGTACAACTTCCATTAAATTTTGAAACTGCAAAGTGAGGAATGAAAAACATTATTTATAAAAACATCTGATTTCTATTACGGATTGTAAAAGCCAAGTCGACAATGAACTCTTGTTAGGGTCAAGGTCAAACACAAGCCCAGTACTAGACCTACCTCCTCATCAAGTGACCAGGACTGTGGGGTGGGAGGGGTTTTCTCTTCAATTTCCTCCTCCTCCTCTGTCTCAGTACCAGTCTTTACAAGGGGAGACAAATCAAGGACATATCAACTCACAAACACTCTTATGTTTCATATTCAATACACGTTCATCGTTAAATAAATTATATTTCGTGTGCTGGAAGGTGTGAAATCTAGAAAAGCAATCTGGATGATGTTAATTTCATCCTGTATCCATTGTGATTTCCATTAGCAATGTGCTGAAAACTTGGTGAAGTGAATCTGTTTCAGATTAATGTGTAAATCTGTCAGGAATGGGAAAGTGCAATAATAGCATAAAAACAAGAAAATTGTATATTAGTGTTTAGGTCATTTGTATTTTGCACATTGCCAGGACAAGTTTTCATGTTCTGTAAAGTAATGCTGAGACTTCTGTAACAATGCTTCTCAAGGCGGTCAGCTTCAAAAGAGATGTAAGCCAAGTACACCATCTTTGTTGGAGACAGTTTAAAGCTATTTCTGAAAAAAAAAGTTGACAAACACTTCTGCAATTAGCAGATCTTTCGTTGTAGAATCTTAAAGAGACAACATGGTCATTTTTTATCATTAGATAGAGCCTCACCTCATCATCCAAACTGTTTGGTTTGGGAGGGGGAGGGCGGGGAGGAGGGAGTTCTTCTTCTTCCATTCTCTCCATCTCTTTTTCCATTTTGATAAGACTAGGAGGCTCCAGACCAAACTTGTAACCTATTCTTGCTAACTCTAACAGACATAGTACTACTGACTTCTCGGCTGTGTGAGACACTGCAAGTAAAATAATATACAAAACAACGTATACGGTAGTCTATAACAGCTCAAATGTGGTGGAGATCAATTCAGCATTACTTAGAGATGTATTCTTATATTTAAATAAACTATCATGCTGTGTTTCATTCAAAAACACAATCAATGTACATTTTCAATTTTTTTTCTCTTCCTTTTTTTAAGAGACATTTAGGAATACATATTGTATTAAAAAGTTTCTGGAGTTTTAATTTCGGTATTTGTTTAAATCCTCAAATTTGAATATTTTACATTAATTACAAGAACTCCCTCATCATACATGTTAACAAGACTTTAAAATACAGGTCCCAGTTAACATTCAGTGTTATCACTAATGCCAGTGTATTGTAAACTATTCAGAGTTTGTTTAAGTATGTAAAGGTCAATGCTTTCTACAGTTGTTTTATATTTTTAAGATTTACTAGAGCAGCAGAAATTCAGACCAGTCAAAAGAAGTGAGCTGGCCATTACTGTTTCAGTCAGAGATTGGTTCAAAATTTGATTAATAATTGCTGTTGATTAATTTCTGGGACAATTGTGATACCTGTATGTAACCTATCTTTATTGTTTTACAATAAGAATCAACATATGTCAATGATAAGGAAGCATGGAAAACAAATGAGCCCAGGAGATTAAATGGACCTTCATAGCTCAGATTGGAGAGTGTTGACCTGAGGTGAAGATCTGAGGTATCATAGGTGGTTTGTGTTTCTCACAAAACAGACCAGTCATTGTTGCCCTGATTGTGTTTTTTGGCAAGGCACTTTACCCTGATTGGTCTGGATGGGATGCAAAGGGCCTCCCATATGTTGTTCAGTGAGGTAGCCACCAGCTAATATGAAGAGATCCCACTCAAAATTACCCTGGCTGTTTACAGGGTGATACCCTCTGATCAAACAAACTAACACTCAAATCCAGGGTTCCAAAACATTACAATTTACTCCAAGTCAGGGGGTGGGCTTATTACAGGTCACTGAAATATCATTCATTGTTAATTCTTCTAAACAGCAATAGATAGAGTGGGCTTATTACCAGCCCTAGGCTAGTTTTTGTATAAGTTTCTGGGTTAGCAGGGCACTAAAATAATGTATTTGTGCTGATAGGCACCTTTTCCTTTCATTTGTCCACATAAGTTAATCTATAGCAATACAATCATTGAATAAATCTTCACTTTTCTGATTTACATATACATACATACAACTATAATGTCAACATCTTAATCAGGCTTTGGGCTCAAAGAAATATCAAATCCTGTTATCAAAATTCATCATACCTAGATATTCTGTTTCAAACATTTGATCATCTGCCATCCCAAATGCTTTACACCAGGACAGGAAGTTAGCTGTATTGTCGCGTGCAAACCAGCTCCCTGAAGGTGCATTACTCTTACATCGAAGTTTGTAGTTGGGCAGGGGCTGTAAAACAATCCACAATATTCAGGACACAGCCTATACTCAGGTCATCAACATCACAGAGATTCAAGAACTAGGGACATTACAAGATATTATAAATACTTAGATAAATACACCAGTAATGGACCAACTGAATCAAAAAATGTTTTTAAAAATACTTAACATTTTTTTTTTACATTCCAGATTTTCCCGAATTAATTTTGATACCATTGAACCATCAAATGACCTAACTACATTTCTTATCTCAAAGATTAACTTTCTGTAACTTTTCCTGACTTCCATATGAGAATCACAGCAACCCCTCCAAGACATTCCTTAATTTCCATACACGGATCACAGTGACCTACTTTCTTACCTCTATGTGTGACCCCTCCATGAAATTCTTTAATTTCCATACACGGATCACAGTGACCTACTTTCTTACCTCTATGTGTGACCCCTCCATGAAATTCCTTAATTTCCATACATGGATCACAGTGACCTACTTTCTTACCTCTATGTGTGACCCCTCCAAGATATTACTGAATTTCCATACATGAATCACAGTGACCTAATTTCTTACCTCTATGTGTGACCCCTCTAGGAAATTCCTGAATTTCCATACATGAATCACAGTGACCTAATATTTTACCTCTATGTGTGACCCCTCCATGAAATCCTGAAATTCCATACATGAATCACAGTGACCTACTTTCTTTGTCTCTGTGTATGACCTTTCTATGGCATTCCTTAGTTTCCATATATGAATCAGTGACTAATTTTCCTCACCTCTGTGTATGATCCATCCAAGACACACTCATGCGCCTTCCTCTGTATAATTTTTGCCATTTGACATAAGTACACGCCGTTGTCCAGCACATCCATGAAATTGTCTGCATTAACCTCCATCCCTGTAGTGAAGATAGTTTATCTTGATAAGGATGTACAGTACTTTACTCTGACGAGACTTAAGGCTGTATACTACCTAACTGGTTGAAGATGAATGCTATCATTATTTCTTAAAGATGTATGCTGCCTTTTTCTGACACTGAGACTTAAGGCATTACTTGCTAAATATGTATGCTACGTTTTTGTGAACTTTATATCTTACACATAAGAGTTTAACACACTTGAATTTTATTATCTAAATTTGACATTTCAAGCATAATGTGAACATCAATGATTTCCAAGACAAATGTGATATCCATCTTTGAAAAGGGAGATAACTCATGTAAACCACAGCTATAATCAATAAAATAAGCAAACATCCTTGTGTGGATACTGTGACTTTTTCCTTAACTTCTCTACATAGGCTAACCTCAGAGGTTTATTTTTTTAATTTTGATAATGTACATAACTTAATGATTTCATTGAAACATTTCAAAACTTGGGGGAAAAATTAAAACTGAATGGTAACCAGCTACCAGTCCTAGTTTTCCATTCCTCAACAATCTTAAATTTCTTACTAGTGAATGTGTAGAAAATGTTGACTACAAGAGACAGTTCATTTTTTTTATTAATTATAAAAACCAAATTTTTGTCAATTTGACATTTGTTTCATGTGACTTGATGGCCAGTCTTTATACAGACAGATTTTCATATAAACTGAGACCACCCTAAAGGTATGTTTTATGTTAGACCCAGGTAATATAATAACTACACCAAACATAGCAACATAATAGCATACATACTACCATAAACAAAAGTGTACAATATTTGCACACAACCCAAAACAAGACAGCTTGAAATTTAAATATTTCAAACTGCAACTTTCCTGTAATCTATACTTGTACCTAAATATCATACTGCAACTTTCCTGTAATCTATACTTGTACCTAAATATCATACTGCAACTTTCCTGTAATCTATACTTGTACCTAAATATCATACTGCAACTTTCCTGTAATCTATGCTTGTACCTAAATATCATACTGCAACTTTCCTGTAATCTATACTTGTACCTAAATATCATACTGCAACTTTCCTGTAATCTATGCTTGTACCTAAATATCATACTGCAACTTTCCTGTAATCTATACTTGTACCTAAATATCATACTGCAACTTTCCTGTAATCTATGCTTGTACCTAAATATCATACTGCAACTTTCCTGTAATCTATACTTGTACCTAAATATCATACTGCAACTTTCCTGTAATCTATGCTTGTACCTAAATATCATACTGCAACTTTCCTGTAATCTATACTTGTACCTAAATATCATACTGCAACTTTCCTGTAATCTATACTTGTACCTAAATATCATACTGCAACTTTCCTGTAATCTATACTTGTACCTAAATATCATACTGCAACTTTCCTGTAATCTATGCTTGTACCTAAATATCATACTGCAACTTTCCTGTAATCTATACTTGTACCTAAATATCATACTGCAACTTTCCTGTAATCTATGCTTGTACCTAAATATCATACTGCAACTTTCCTGTAATCTATACTTGTACCTAAATATCATACTGCAACTTTCCTGTAATCTATGCTTGTACCTAAATATCATACTGCAACTTTCCTGTAATCTATACTTGTACCTAAATATCATACTGCAACTTTCCTGTAATCTATACTTGTACCTAAATATCATACGTGCCATACGTAATGATGAATGGTGGCAAAAGCAAACTTGACTAAACTAGCTTGTTTCTGTAAGGTATGTCACAGCCAGCATATCTGTAAAGTATGTCACAGTCAGCATATCTGTAAAGTATGTCACAGCCAGCATATCTGTAAAGTATGTCACAGCCAGCATATCTGTAAAGTATGTCACAGTCAGCATATCTGTAAAGTATGTCACAGCCAGCATATCTGTAAAGTATGTCACAGCCAGCATATCTGTAAAGTATGTCACAGTCAGCATATCTGTAAAGTATGTCACAGCCAGCATATCTGTAAGGTATGTCACAAAGTCAGTCAGCATATCTGTAAAGTATGTCACAGTCAGCATATCTGTAAGGTATGTCATAGTCAGCATATCTGTAAGGTATGTCACAAAGTCAGTCAGCATATCTGTAAAGTATGTCACAAAGTCAGCCAGCATATCTGTAAAGTATGTCACAAAGTCAGCCAGCATATCTGTAAAGTATGTCACAGCCAGCATATCTGTAAAGTATGTCACAAAGTCAGCCAGCATATCTGTAAAGTATGTCACAAAGTCAGCCAGCATATCTGTAAAGTTTGTCACAAAGTCAGCCAGCATATCTGTAAAGTATGTCACAAAGTCAGCCAGCATATCTGTAAAGTATGTCACAAAGTCAGCCAGCATATCTGTAAAAAAGCTTTTAGCTAGATATGCTTCACATTTTTCTTTTCTTTCACTTCATGTACAAACAACACAGAGACAAACAATATTGGTGACTGACCTATCCTGAGGTAAACACCTTTAATCAAGTTACTTATTTCACAATAGTTGTTGAATTCAGTTTATATATTTACATTATATAATAACTGCACAACATATTTACAGGAAGTTGTCCTTTAGCTTAGCTGTCCCCTACATGATAAAGAACACCATCATACTGTGAAGGAGTTTTGTCAGTTTTCTTAACCTCATCAGTATAGAAGGATAATGATAGGTTGATAGGGAATGCCTTTCTATGATAATTTTGTTCTTCCTCTACTGAGAGAGGTATGATTAACAATGACTGAGTATATGCCCAGTGATTTAAACAATTTTATCATCATGGATTCAATCTGTATATTTTTTCTATTATAAAGTCATGAAAAGAAAAAGAATTCTGTTCTACAGTTTTCATTTAGAGATTTTGGCCTCAACATCATTTTATTTGAATGATTAATAAAATTTATGTTGAACCTACATACATTTAGCAATAAAGTCTAATTTATCATAAAAATGCACAAGCAAACACCTGGTTAACACTCATTAACACATGCCAGGCACTGCTTACCTGACTTGGATATATCTATCTCTGTACAGATCAATGCAAAAATTATTACAACACAGGTATGATATAGGTAATACAGCTTCATTACATATACTTTGTAGTTAATTAGATTTGTCACACCTGTACATACAAGTAGAATACAAGAACAGGTATCACAGTTAAACATTTATATATAGGTAATAAGATATGTCACACCTGTGCATACAGGTGTAATAGAATACTTTGTACACCTATGTAGTATTTAAATTAATTTCAAAAAGGGGTCCAAAGGGCTTGTATTGCTAATGATAAGACTTTCTTACAAGGGTGAATTCTCAGAATCAAATCTAATCATACCTTCAATCTCCCACATGTTACTGGCAATCTATCATGACTCACTTTCATTACCCTGAAGAGGCCATTTAAATATCTTTCCATATTTGACCCTAGTGACCTTGAAAGTTGAGCATGCAAGGTCCTTTATTTGCGTAAAGTCAAGACAGTATATCTGAACATTGTAACTCAAATATCATGACACTGGGTGCACTAGTTATTTAGAAAATGTGTTTCAAGCATATCTGACTGCAGTATGGTGGCCATAAAATTGTCATTCATTTGTTTAATGACATTGCTAATTACTATTGGGCAAATTCCATAATTCTGGGGCCTTTGGTTACTCAAAAGAATTTGTATAAATGTTTCAACACAGTTAAACACTTTATCCGAAAGTAGGCCAAGTCATATGTTAAGGAAAGGAAACTCGCACAGTTCAACTTTTTTCTGTCAGCGAATCTGTTCTTTTAATCCTTCAATCTGATTTACATGTAGCAAGATTCTCCATCTTATGTTATCTTTGAAGTCTAAAATTCAATGAACTTAGCTCTAAATTTCACTCCATTGTTTCTGACTATGATATCATTGTAAGTACTAGAGGTCTGTGACAGCATTTCATTATTATTTTTTGATGTCATTGACACAAGTTTGTACAAAAAGTACTGTATAAGTATACAAAGTATGCAGACACAATTTTAAGCACAAGAATTTTGTGAAAAAAATTTGCTGAAATATATAATATTGATGGTACCAAATAAACGCATGGCCAACAGCTCAAAGTCAGGGATGTAGAGAGTATAACAGGTAATGAATTAGCACTAGTTGTTACTATAACAGACATGGGCTAATTATGGAATAAATAAAGTATATTACACAGGGATGTAGAGAGTATAACAGGTAATGAATTAGCACTAGTTGTTACTATAACAGACATGGGCTAATCATGGAATAAATACAGTATATTACACAGGGATGTAGAGAGTATAACAGGGTAATGAATTAGCACTAGTTGTTACTATAACAGACATGGGCTAATCATGGAATAAATACAGTATATTACACAGGGATGTAGAGAGTATAACAGGGTAATGAATTAGCACTAGTTGTTACTATAACAGACATGGGCTAATTATGGAATAAATACAGTATATTACACTGTAATGTGTGATATAGTGACACATTATGACACGACATACCTAAGTGTTTTCCAAGCCACTCTGCTAGATCTTCCTTTAGAGGTCCTAGACTCTGTTCCTGGATTTCTGCCAGTTTCTGTTCCATGACATCCTCTTCAACCTCTCCTTCATCATAACCGTTCCATTCCATCGGATTGAGACCTGATGCCCTCATCATCTGTGGAGTCATCCCACCTGACTCCCGATTAGCTGCCATGGCAACTCCTAAATACTTCTCTCCCCTACATCTTGGATCCTGTGGAAAAGGAAGGTTCATTTCATTATTAATCCAGTTTTCTCAGTATCAATCTGGTATTCTGAGGATCAAATAACATGAAATTTTCTTTGATTTAAATACAATAATTATCCTGGAATAAGCCCAGGACATAACCTCTGACTCAGGGGGTGGTGGGCTTATTACAAGACAGTGAAATAGTATTTGTATAATAGTTCCATACACTGTACATTTGGGATGACTCTAAGGATGCTAAACACCCAAAAACTCTCTTTTTGAAAATTTATAAATCATTCCTCAGAGTGGTCTGATGAGATCATCCCCATAAATAGGGGGAGACAACTTTTGTATGAATGTGTCATAATAATTACATATTTTGTTATTGGAGGAGAAGGCTGAAGATTTGTCGCAAAAACAGTAATTAATAATAATGTGAGAGAGTAAGTCCCAGGAATATGAACAAATCAGCTTGGAGTGGAAAACAACCACTAGGTGAGATTTCAGAGCCATAACTCTCAGTTTATTGAGCAATATTCGCATAAGATGATTAATAAATTCACCTGTAGATTGAGATTTCCTTCCTATTTATTTATCTGACTTAACAGGCTTAATGTCTGCTATAACAGCCTTTTGGCCTTTCAGTAGACGAAGAGGCTTCCTTAAACTCAAAAGTGCATTGTAGAGTCTAGAGCTTGTCCGTAATCAAACGCATTTGTATAAAAACCTTGATGGGTCTTTCCTTGAACAAGGATCAAATCATTTGACTTTAGTAAAATGATATTGTACTGACATGTGCATACAACCAATGACTAATCCACATATTACAAACGAACATTTAATTAACACTAATTACAATTATGACTCAAATTTCACAACTCAGTAGAACAAGTATGTGTAAATATCTGTGGTCCCAATTACCGTAAGATACTAGTGTCATTAACGATGTCATTTGATATCGGGGACAGACCATAAAAAAGCTGGGATTAACGTCTGTCAGGTTTTAGGTGGTAAAAATAAGGTGTAACGTAACAATTACAAAGATTTCTATTAATTCACAGTCCATAGTACATTTGTAACCTAGTCCTTGGTCTGCGGTGTTGTCCCCAGACAAGTAAGGCTCAAGTATGTTGGGACAGTGCCAGTACTATGTCGTAAAATACTCAAAAGTTTAAAAAAAAAAAAGATCTGTCATCTTTACAACATTAACTTTAACTACAATTATAATTTCTAAATGTATGTAATCAATTTCAATCCCTGCAATAAGCACTGAATTACAAACTTATATCTAAAGTACATAGCTGGCTACATAAACTGTGGTTAAATAGAAAGTGTTCAAGAAAATATGTAGAGAGCCAAGATACACAAAACAAGCTATTTTGGTTCACCTCTATCTACTATATACTTCACTCAGATTTTCTCTATAAAAGAAATAATAAAAAATTGTTGTCAAATGTTTACTATAAATACATTCCTTATCAAACATTATGTAGGTTTTCTACACATCTGAAATTTTTTTCGTTTTTTTTTTTTTCAAATCTTTTTCCCTTTTTTTTATTACCATGATCTAATTCTTATCATGGTAAAGCATCCTTTATAATCAACATCATACTGATGTTTTCTACAAAGAAGTCTATATACCACTTACTTTGTTGTTCAGCTGAGTAGACATAAACAACAATGTATCTTTAGCTTAACCAAAGATAAACATTTTCTGTTGAAGAAATTATGCTGTAAATGCCAAGTGTTAAAGTACAAAAGCATTTGATATTTATGAAACCAAATTATCTAAGTCCCTTAAAGACAAATTTATGTGATTTTTCATTAAGATGAAAAAAATCAATATTTGTTTAAACTTCCTGTTTAAGGGATATAAAAAACAATCATATTATTGTCTTATATATTCAAATGTTTTCTAAATCAAAATCATAGGTTAACCGAGTTGAGGTAACAAATCTTTGATTATGTTGAGTGTGTGAGTGTTGTATGTTACATTATGTGATAAACGTACATGACAGGTGTTTATAAAAGTGAACCAGGATCAATACAGTCTGTCTGACTGTTAAATGGACTGTCTATATTGTACAATCATTATCAAAGTACTCTGATACATAAATAAAGGTCTAAGAAGACATTTAAACTCTCTGAAATCATATTACATTGTAGTAACATTTAAGATAATTATTTATAATTGTCATTCTTTTGGTAAAAATCATACTCCATTCATATACATGGTTCAAAGAGTGCATTCTCAGAAATAGAATTAACAAACAAAAGGTATAACTGGCCTGTAATGTTTGCTTGGTTCTCTTTTACATAATTCAAAGCCTACCATCACTTATTACCATACCCTTTACCTTATAATAAACTTTCCCTCTATACAAACATCCATTCCCCTATACTCATCCCTTCACCCCCCCCCCCCTCCCTCCCCTATAATAAGCATTCCCTCTATATAACTGTCCCTCCCCCTATACCCATCCCTTCACCCTTCCCCCTATAATTAACATTCTCTCTATATAACTGTCCCTCCCCCTATACCAATTCCTTCACCCCTCCCCTATAATAAGCATTCCCTCTATATAACTGTCCCTCCCCCTATACCCATCCCTTCACCCCTCCCCCTATAATTAACATTCTCTCTATATAACTGTCCCTCCCCCTATACCCATCCCTTCACCCTTCCCCCTATCATTAACATTCACTCTATATAACTGTCCCTCTCCCTATACCAATTCCTTCACCCTTCCCCCTATCATTAACATTCACTCTATATAACTGTCCCTCTCCCTATACCAATTCCTTCACCCTTCCCCCTATCATTAACATTCACTCTATATAACTGTCCCTCTCCCTATACCAATTCCTTCACCCCTCCCCTATCATTAACATTCACTCTATATAACTGTCCCTCTCCCTATACCAATTCCTTCATCACTCCCCTATCATTAAAATTCTCTCTATATAACTGTCCCTCTCCCTATACCAATTCCTTCACCCTTCCCCCTATCATTAACATTCACTCTATATAACTGTCCCTCTCCCTATACCAATTCCTTCACCCTTCCCCCTATCATTAACATTCTCTCTATATAACTGTCCCTCTCCCTATACCAATTCCTTCACCCTTCCCCCTATCATTAACATTCACTCTATATAACTGTCCCTCTCCCTATACCAATTCCTTCATCACTCCCCTATCATTAAAATTCTCTCTATATAACTGTCCCTCTCCCTATACCCATTCATCACCCCTCCCCCTATGATAAGCATTCCCTCTATATAACTGTCCCTCTCCCTATACCCATTCCTTCACCCCTCCCCCCTATGATAAGCATTCCCTCTATATAACTGTCCCTCTCCCTATACCAATTCCTTCATCACTCCCCTATCATTAAAATTCTCTCTATATAACTGTCCCTCTCCCTATACCCATTCATCACCCCTCCCCCTATGATAAACATTCCCTCTATATAACTGTCCCTCTCCCTATACCAATTCCTTCATCCCTCCCCTATAATAGCCCCCTCTCTATATATAGCCATCCCTCCCCTGATAACCACCACTTGTGCCTCTTTTTGATCTCCTTCCTACAAGTTTGTACAAAAGACACACAAGTGAATAGCACCTTTTTATAATTTAGAATGAGATACAGTAGACCCAAACAATGAATTAAACAATATCATACAGCTGTTTCTTCCTTCTAGGACTCGTCAGTGATGCTACTGGCCTAAAATTTGAAGCCTATGAGGTGACTAAGGAAAATCCAAAGTGACCAAAAGAAAAGTCAAAATCTAGACAAGCCGGTGCAGCAGCCCCATGATTAGATAAACTTTGTAATTTTCATACATCAGATAACCTTAGATGATTTTTATAACTTCCACTTTACCCCTTCCCTTATAACTATATTTTACCTTCCCCTATAATTGTGCCCCCTATAATTGGGCCCCCTATAATTGCCCCTTCACTCATCCCTTTTAAGTTCTTCGTTCCAAATTAACCCTCCACCTATTCCACTATTCCCAACCCCTTTAAGTAAGTCACACCTACCCATAAAGTGTGCTACATTTTTAAATACATCCTGATTTTAAACTTTCCAGACAATGAGTTTGAATGAATGATGTTTAGCATGTTTACTTAATGAGGTATCAAATAAACATATGCTTATTGCCACTGTAGCACTCCTATATCAGTTGTATTTAATGCTTGTCCTACAACAAAATGGTCCACCTGATCAAATCTACATTACAATTTAGTCACAGATAAACACAGGCATGTGCCAATTTAAAGCCTGCCAATTGTCCACTCCCAGCATATCTATCTAATGAAGTCACATCAATGTCTTACTTACATTAATTCAATTTTTTTTTAAATCAGAATTTTTGTTATTAAATCAGTTGATGTCAATCAATAGTCACAGGTCACTCAACTCTCAGATTTGTAGACCTCTTTATTCTGGAATTTATCAATACAAATGATAAATATCAAGATAAATATAATATATAATAAATATAAAATGTCAAGGTCATATACAATCCAACACAGGTCAAGGTTACCTAAAATCCAAGTCAAGGTCATTTATATCATGTATTGGTGGCCAGATTTGGAAGCCAAATCCATTCAATTCCAACCAACTCATCCTCTCCCGCATCCATGTCCTACAAACCCATCCCCCACCCCCACATCCCACACCCCATCCCCTGCCCCCACATCCCCCACCCCCACCTCCAACATCCCCCACCCCCACATCCCACACCCCATCCCTGCCCCCACATCCCCCACCCCCACCTCCAACATCCCCACCCCCACCCCCAAATCCCACACCCCATCCCTGCCCCCACATCCCCCTCCCCCACCTCCAACATCCCCCACCCCCACCCCCAAATCCCACACCCCATCCCCTACCCCCACATCCCCCACCCCCACCTCCAACATCCCCCACCCCCATCCCACTAACTATATTCCCCACCCCCACCACCCCAACCCCCACATCCCACTAACTCTATATTCCCCTATATCCTCCTCCCATGCTCTCTCCTTCTCCCCTTCCCCTCCCCAATTCCTTTTAAGTTACAACTTAATATAAATCTGTCAGTTATCAACACATGTTGATATGTCATTTCTTACCTTTATCTGGCCATCACTACTACAGTGACACAGACGGTTGAATTTTCATACGTATCTATAATTTAAATGTCTATATCTTTATCTGACTGTAATTTCAAAGGAACAGATGTATACCAAACAGTGTATGAATCTTCTCCACTGACACATAACCATAAGTAACTTTCGATCACCCAGAAATAATGACCCACATTCTTCAGTAATACCGACCCTCATTCTCCAGCAATACAATATAATAATCAAAGCGAAGAGGCAATCACCATGTCTGGCTTCAATGATCATTGTAAAGATTCATGAAGATAAAGTTTCTAAAATCACGATACGTATTCTTATTGATATTGCGATTTATGTATCTTAAATTCTTTTGTGACTGAAGTTTGAATTTAACAACATTGACTTCAGTTTTTAAATTTTGAATAAAATATCATTTATATCTTCTAAGTCATGGATATTACAATGATGAGGTTTAATATCTTAAGTTCTTAAGAAAATATTCTGCTTGAAAAAAAACAAAAGTTTCCCATTTTCTAGGCATCAAACCCCAAATCCTTCAATATAGTTGTATTAAGTATCCTACATGATGGGACCTTAGTATCTGTAAGATGGCTAATTACCAAATAACAATTAAAACATCATTAAAGTTCAGATGGTTGTACAAATTAAAAAACATAGAAAAATATCAAATTCATAAAAAATTATTAGAAAAATCAGATTTATATAAATAGGGTTTTCACTCACCACGAGTCTGTACATTGTGTATCATACATACACACCAGTTGAAAGCATTATTAATCCTTGGGAGTTTCACGACACCAGGTGATAATGATGACTCGTTGCATTACAAACAATATTTATGTATACACATGCCAAACAGCTCAATACCATTACGCATGTATTGTTTTTTATATAAAACATGTTGTGATCCTATCATAAACAATTAACTTACCGGATAACAAAAAGTCGCCATGTGCCTGAGGTTGGTCGAGGGGGTATACTGTTCCACAATGTTTCCAACACAATGCCCCCGATTTAATTTGATAGAGAAGAATACCCTGATCGTTATTTAGCCGTGGGATACACCTCTCAGCCCCGTGTGCACACGTGTTTCCCACGATTATCAAAGTCAGAGTGTGTATTCACAAAGCTATCAGAAATATACAGGGAAGGATTTCACAGTCAGGTATAGTCTAATATAGTTATATTCGATATGTGCAACATACGTCACAACGTCACACTTATCTGAGAACCAGTCAACAGCCATCAATCTTGTACTGTGTGAATTTAAACACTACACAAATATTGGCTTACAGTGTACAAAATATCTGATGATATAGATAATACTTCACCTGTATACTAGAAGATGTTATAACTTTGAAGTCAGGAAGATAATACTATATATACCTGCTGAAATGGTTGCTGGCATTACACCAGGTAAAAAATGGCTTTTTCTGTCTGTATCTCAGAACACTGCCAGCTGATTCCAGATGTATCCCTGATCTACAGATAAAGATAAAAAGATTTCAAGATAGTATTAAAGGGGGCATGTTTTCATAAGTACCCAACGAACGGTTTTGAAGATCTTGTGCTTAATGAAGGCTAGGACTGATAATGAGCTTTTCAGAAAGTGATATGAAGCAGGACATATTTGATGCTTGTAAGTTTGCCTGTTAGTTCTGTTATTGTATACCTTGTTCATATTCGGGAAGGTGACACTATTTATTTGGATTGAGTATGATTACATGTCAGGTGTTATCAATGAAGCAGAAGACGCTTACTCTTCCAGAACACCTGGTCTTATTCTTCATGTATTTTATAAGGAGTCTTCATGTAAATGCTCAAAGTTTCAGAGTTCGGATTATGATTATGTTCACCTGTTGTTCCTTAGTCAGTTGTGTACAGGTAGATATATTTGGCTGCCTGAGATTTCAAGATAAATTAGGTAGACTCCTAAATAAATAAGATTGGTTTCTAAGCAAATACATTGGGGTTTCCAGATAAAGCTGGAGTTAGGTGACTTCAAGTGATGTTGAAAGGTATATTCCTAAGATCAATTCATTGGTTTCTAGAATTCATGAGTTTCAACAGGAAACTGATAGGTTTCTAGATAGTTGAGATGAACTGGATCAATCAGCAGAGTTTCTTGATCAATCTGATCAGTTTCTAGATAGTCTGTTTGTTATATGTTTATCGTTCGGAATAGACAAGGTCATTTTAAAAGCTGAGCCTTCTCGAAGAAGCTAATCGTTACTTTATTGAACAGCATGTGGGAGGTCAATCACATGGTTTCCAGAGCAATAAGGGTAAAATCTCTTACCGATGGACAAAACCATGTGAGCACAGAGTGGTCTGTGATATCAGCAGAAACACAAAACAACCTGTGTAGGGACGTTACTACATATCTGGAATACATACACTAGGGGCAATCAAAGAAAAGTATGACATTAAAGTTTCACTGTCTCTTAGAACGGTACTTTTCATACTGTGCTAGATTTTATTTGGCCAAGGTTAACTCTATAACCAAGTTTTAATTCAATCCAATAGTGGCAGGGTTGAAAATCCACATGTATATAGATGCCCTTCTAAAACAGACATGAAAATTACTTATTGAATTATACGGCTTGTGCATCTCCCCATCTAGTCTTTGTTTTACATATTTTTGGTGTTTGATGCTTTGGACTTCTCCAAGTAACTCCTTGGCTTTAAGATTAGCATTACTGACAAGTTCTTAGAGGACAAAGCAGTTGTTTAATTCAGTGTTTAGATTTCCTGTATCACATTATTCTGTCAAAAGGTGATATTCACTTGTGTGTCTTTTATATTACATTTCTATCATAATAAAGAGCTGCCTTCGTGCAAATAATAAAACCATATATCAAATTTCAGTTCAATTATGGACATTTCCTACATCAAGTAAAATGTTCAAAGACAGCAATTCTGCAAGTTAAGTGCTTGATCTGCATACTTGTATTATATAACTATTGAAACCAAATTTCACCTCAATATCTCCATCCAACAAAGAGTTTATGAATGGAAACTATTTAATTATGATAGAAATAACAGGAACCAGAAATCAAAATCATCAATCTCTAAGTCATTAAGTCATCTGGTCAAACAGTCCTTCAAAATCAAGGGTGACAGGGTGCATTAAAGGGTCACCAAGTACTTTTTCATCAATTGTTATATTTATCACATCTGTATGTATTTGATGACCTCTGTCTTCAGTTCTATACTCTCTTTTATCCCAATATAAATTAATTATTTTCTAACAGACAACTCAGAGACCTATGGGAATAATACTCACTTCAATAATGATAAAATACATTATACCCTGTTAATACACATATACAGTGCTTAACTCAATGAGAATATCTTAACAACAGATTACGTGACACTGTATGCACCCACACCTGTTGAGCCACTATATATACTTTTTTTAAGTACACACGTCTGTATAGACCAAAGAGCGGATGTCAAAAAGGCATTTCATCATTTTGCACTTGTACATATCAGGTGTCAAAAGCAAGGTTACCTGGATATCACCAACAGTTAATTAATATGAACGTTACTATAAAAACTACTCAATATGATGTTCTGTTTGTCAGGAGAAAACGTGATAATAAGCATTTGTCAGCAGAACATGTGATAATAACTCAAACCTGCCATTTACAGCTGACATGTTTTTCAGAATATCTAAACCCAGAAGCGAATTTTCTGATGCCAAACTGACTTGTTTCTTAAATGAATTGCTTGAAGACGAAAAACTTGTCATTTGCTTTGTTTTTCCCATGCCATTAGCACAATGAGTTTTCTTTTTTGCTTAATGTTTATTTTTGAAATATATGTTAATGGCTATAGTATCTTATCACAAACTATAACTTCTTTCTCAAAAGCAGAAGTCTGCTTGGTGGTTGCAAGTCGTTTCTTGATAGTTTGATGCAAAAAAATCAAGATATATCTGAAGATTTAAGACTGAACTCCTTGAGTGACCCAACACACCTCCATAAACAACCTAGATTTTACTTCATTTCCTTATCACTGTCCAAATCCAATGTTTACATACCTTACTTACGTGAAATCAAAATAATGGCCAGTCTTAAAATTGACGCATGCAAAAATGATCAGGCGTCACCACAGTGCTAACACTGAACTTGATCAAACAATGAGCTACTGATACGGCTCACAATTCAGGAGTCACATACAGTCCGCGCCTGATATACATTCAGGATTTGGTGACAAGGTGACAAATGTCCTTCGTGAGATTAGCTGCAACCATACATTCTGATTATCACCTTTGTAATGGAACCTTCTACAAGTTCTGCATTCTCATAAACAATGACCAGGTAAAAATCACGGCACTTTCTTTTTTCTTTGCGTCAAACAGCTATATATTTCTATAGTTTTATCAATGAATTACAAAACTAAAATAAACATTTTCTTTGATAGTTTGTAGCAAACAATCATTAATAAAAACAAAATTCTTTGATAGCAGAGATAATTTAGTTCAACAGACATATATTTGCAGCAATACATATGTCAATCTGCCAGATAACGTGCTGAGCAGAACAAAAAAGAAACAAATATTGAAGACGATAAATTATATAATTTTTTTCCTACAAGTGTATCTAAAGATTAAAAAAGAAATTAATTTTTTTCTGAATTCAGTTAATTGTGATATTTTATTTTAATTCAGTGACTGTGATATCGTTTACAAGATGCCCAAAGGGCCTAACCAATCTCAACTGAAATAGAATTTTAGTCCTCAATGTTAAAAATATCCTGCCAGCCATATTTTAATTCATTTGAATAGTTGCACGGTTCAGAATATACACATGTACTTAAGGTTCTTGGAAATTATCAGATATATGAAAATTATGCAGTTTCTTTAATTATTGCGTGATGTTGCACCTCCCCATCCAGATAACATGAATGAAGTCTCTTCAATTATTGCGTGATGTTGCACCTCCCCATCCAGATAACATGAATGAAGTCTCTTCAATTATTGCGTGATGTTGCACCTCCCCATCCAGATAACATGAATGAAGTCTCTTCAATTATTGCGTGATGTTGCACCTCCCCATCCAGATAACATGAATGAAGTCTCTTTAATTATTGCGTGATGTTGCACCTCCCCATCCAGATAACATGAATGAAGTCTCTTCAATTATTGCGTGATGTTGCACCTCCCCATCCAGATAACATGAATGAAGTCTCTTCAATTATTGCGTGATGTTGCACCTCCCCATCCAGATAACATGAATGAAGTCTCTTCAATTATTGTGATGTTGCACCTCCCCATCCAGATAACATGAATGAAGTCTCTTTAATTATTGCGTGATGTTGCACCTCCCCATCCAGATAACATGAATGAAGTCTCTTTAATTATTGCGTGATGTTGCACCTCCCCATCCAGATAACATGAATGAAGTCTCTTTAATTATTGCGTGATGTTGCACCTCCCCATCCAGATAACATGAATGAAGTCTCTTTAATTATTGCGTGATGTTGCACCTCCCCATCCAGATAACATGAATGAAGTCTCTTTAATTATTGCGTGATGTTGCACCTCCCCATCCAGATAACATGAATGAAGTCTCTTTAATTATTGTGTGATGTTGCACCTCCCCATCCAGATAACATGAATGAAGTCTCTTTAATTATTGCGTGATGTTGCACCTCCCCATCCAGATAACATGAATGAAGTCTCTTTAATTATTGCGTGATGTTGCACCTCCCCATCCAGATAACATGAATGAAGTCTCTTTAATTATTGCGTGATGTTGCACCTCCCCATCCAGATAACATGAATGAAGTCTCTTTAATTATTGCGTGATGTTGCACCTCCCCATCCAGATAACATGAATGAAGTCTCTTTAATTATTGCGTGATGTTGCACCTCCCCATCCAGATAACATGAATGAAGTCTCTTTAATTATTGCGTGATGTTGCACCTCCCCATCCAGATAACATGAATGAAGTCTCTTTAATTATTGCGTGATGTTGCACCTCCCCATCCAGATAACATGAATGAAGTCTCTTTAATTATTGTGTGATGTTGCACCTCCCCATCCAGATAACATGAATGAAGTCTCTTTAATTATTGCGTGATGTTGCACCTCCCCATCCAGATAACATGAATGAAGTTTCAACCAATTTTGGTTTTCCTTTTCATCACCTGGGCTTTTTAGTTTTGCACCTCTGCATCATGGATGAGACCTATAGAAGGACTTAACAGCTGTAGGATTTCTAAGGTTGGTAATATCAATAGAATAGAAGTTCTGTTGGGCAAAGTGTGAACAACACCCTAGTGTAAGAGGTTGTACAATCAGAAGTACATGTACATCTTTTTCCTAAAGATCAACACCTTGGTAGTACTTTCATCTTTCCGTACTAAAAGGATGTTAATTAATGGCTTAATGCCATCAACTTCTTCCTGTCTGATGAATTGGATGGGGTGGTATCTATGGTATTGATACATGCAGGCAATTCTTTCTGTAACCCTTTTTTGACTATTTCCAATATGTCATCACCATATTGTTTCCAAAGATTAGGTTTTCATTCTACAGGAATCACTGCTATATCCTCTTTCTCCAATTAAATGTTCCATGAATAAGTTGACCACAATCAGAGACACTGGTCTGCTCATGGTTGTGCCAAACCATTACTGAAAAATGGTATCTCCAAAAGTATGGCATTGTAAGAACAAGTTCTAGCAAATCCATGATATTCTGGGTATAGAGACTGAAGTTCTTTTGCCATGACTTGCTCTAGGCAATGATACCAAGTGCCTTGCCAGTGAGTGTGTTGGTGAAAATACACACTACATCATGTGAAATGAATTCCTGATGTTTTTGGATAAGTACCATAGACATATTTCCTGCGATGTCTCTCAAGTTTTTGACATGATGTTCTAATTTTCCCTGGAGGGATCCTAGAATGTCTGCTAGTGACCTGGAGACATTGTAACCAATGGAACCAGTATAGTCCACTATAGGCCGTAATGGATTACCTTCTTTGTGGATCTCGGGTGTGCAGTACATTCTAGGTGTGATCTCTGTAGTGGGATGTAGGTGACTATACTGTGATTAATGTGCAGTACATTCTAGGTGTGATCTCTGTAGTGGGATATAGGTGACTATACTGTGATTAATGTGCAGTACATTCTAGGTGTGATCTCTGTAGTGGGATATAGGTGACTATACTGTGATTAATGTGCAGTACATTCTAGGTGTGATCTCTGTAGTGGGATATAGGTGACTATACTGTGATTAATGTGCAGTACATTCTAGGTGTGATCTCTGTAGTGGGATATAGGTGACTATACTGTGATTAATGTGCAGTACATTCTAGGTGTGATCTCTGTAGTGGGATATAGGTGACTATACTGTGATTAATGTGCAGTACATTCTAGGTGTGATCTCTGTAGTGGGATATAGGTGACTATACTGTGATTAATGTGCAGTACATTCTAGGTGTGATCTCTGTAGTGGGATATAGGTGACTATACTGTGATTAATGTGCAGTACATTCTAGGTGTGATCTCTGTAGTGGGATATAGGTGACTATACTGTGATTAATGTGCAGTACATTCTAGGTGTGATCTCTGTAGTGGGATATAGGTGACTATACTGTGATTAATGTGCAGTACATTCTAGGTGTGATCTCTGTAGTGGGATATAGGTGACTATACTGTGATTAATGTGCAGTACATTCTAGGTGTGATCTACTGTAGTGGGATATAGGTGACTATACTGTGATTAATGTGCAGTACATTCTAGGTGTGATCTCTGTAGTGGGATATAGGTGACTATACTGTGATTAATGTGCAGTACATTCTAGGTGTGATCTCTGTAGTGGGATATAGGTGACTATACTGTGATTAATGTGCAGTACATTCTAGGTGTGATCTCTGTAGTGGGATATAGGTGACTATACTGTGATTAAGTGGTCTTATTTTATTTATCTAACCAAGCTACAACGCTCTTTTTGAACTTTTCATTAGGGTTGATCTGGAGTTTTTCATGTATTTTGTCGTGTTCGAGTACAGCTATGACTTTTTTCTCACATCTGTTTGTGTCCATGACAACTGTGACTTCCCCTTGATCTGTTGGAAAAATCAGAATTGATCTGACATTGCTCCACTGTGCACTTTGTTCTTCATCTGATATGTTGTTTACTAGTAATTTTTCGTAGATTTAAAACATCTGTCACCTGTAATCTCGGGTGATCAGCCTCATTGTAATGTAAGTTCTGTGGCTAGGATAAAATTAGTGTAGGAGATGGTAAAGAATCAACCAATATGTCTGGTTGTGTTATAATCCTAAGAACAATGAGGTAGAAAACAGTAGGACAAGATCTGTAAAAAGATTACAGAAAAAAAGTACATAAGATGGTAACAAGATGCGAGACCTCTTACCATCTTGAAGACTGTATATGTCAGTGTTAGAAGGCTTCACATGGTCAAGTCTGATGAAGGTGACCGAGCAGAAACATCACTGTGAGACCTCTTACCATCTTGAAGACTGTATATGTCAGTGTTAGAAGGCTTCACATGGTCATGTCTGATGAAGGTGACCGAGCAGAAACATCACTGTGAGACCTCTTACCATCTTGTAGACTGTATATGTCAGTGTTAGAAGGCTTCACATGGTCATGTCTGATGAAGGTGACCGAGCAGAAACATCACTGTGAGACCTCTTACCATCTTGTAGACTGTATATGTCAGTGTTAGAAGGCTTCACATGGTCATGTCTGATGAAGGTGACCGAGCAGAAACATCACTGTGAGACCTCTTACCATCTTGTAGACTGTATATGTCAGTGTTAGAAGGCTTCACATGGTCATGTCTGATGAAGGTGACCGAGCAGAAACATCACTGTGAGACCTCTTACCATCTTGTAGACTGTATATGTCAGTGTTAGAAGGCTTCACATGGTCATGTCTGATGAAGGTGACCGAGCAGAAACATCACTGTGAGACATCTTACCATCTTGTAGACTGTATATGTCAGTGTTAGAAGGCTTCACATGGTCAAGTCTGATGAAGGTGACCGAGCAGAAACATCACTGTGAGACCTCTTACCATCTTGTAGACTGTATATGTCAGCGTTATAGAAGGCTTCACATGGTCATGTCTGATGAAGGTGACCGAGCAGAAAAATCACTGTGAGACCTCTTACCATCTTGTAGACTGTATATGTCAGTGTTAGAAGGCTTCACATGGTCATGTCTGATGAAGGTGACCGAGCAGAAACATCACTGTGAGACATCTTACCATCTTGTAGACTGTATATGTCAGTGTTAGAAGGCTTCACATGGTCAAGTCTGATGAAGGTGACCGAGCAGAAACATCACTGTGAGACCTCTTACCATCTTGTAGACTGTATATGTCAGCGTTATAGAAGGCTTCACATGGTCATGTCTGATGAAGGTGACTGAGCAGAAACATCACTGTGAGACCTCTTACCATCTTGTAGACTGTATATGTCAGTGTTAGAAGGCTTCACATGGTCATGTCTGATGAAGGTGACCGAGCAGAAACATCACTGTGAGACCTCTTACCATCTTGTAGACTGTGTATGTCAGTGTTAGAAGGCTTCACATGGTCATGTCTGATGAAGGTGACCGAGCAGAAACATTTAATTCTTCTACTAGTTGTGCTATAAGATCTGCTATTCCTGCTTCAACCTTAGGTTCTCTTGATTATGTAAGTACTTGAACCATGTCATACCAAACTGAGAGAATAACTGAACCATTTAATGCGACAGGTTAGGACAAAATATCCATATGCAGTACATCAATAAGCATTGTATCTTAAAGTTTAGGAAGATGTTTCTGTGTCAATCAATAAATCATTAGCTGTATATTACCACATTAGTACTCTGTTTAGGATGTGTTATACACTGCAATATGATGTGGATGAGGTCCCATGGTCTCTGTAGAGCATTGTCCATGGTTCCTTATAGTAATCTTTGCTATTATTGATTCATCGTTGAAATAAAAGCTATAATCCTAATGACATATAGATCACCCAGGTAATTACCTAGGTCATACCTAGTCCTCACTGAGTGGTGACTAAAACCATTATTTACACATGGCCACATGATTTTACCCTGGTGGTTATCTATGGACTGTTTATGGTTGAGATGAAATACAGGGTTACATTGAACATGTGCACTGTATATTATAAGTATAAAAGTATTATTGAAACATACTATTTACAGCTAGCTATCATATATGCAATGTAGACTGAAGAAGTCCAGGTTTACATAATTGATATTGGATTTTTTTTCCTAGTGTATGAGTTTAGAGTACAGGTCACCTCATTAGCCTTAGCTAGTGGGAATTTGCCTTTAGTCAGCTGTAATGTGTCTGGCTAGAGACCAAAGAGTCGCTAGTTCGAACCCCATTAGTGGTAGGGTGTCTTTCAATACTTCTTCCTATTACAGTACATGTATTGTTCATTTGTGGGCTGTTTAAGCTTCGTGGACGATTATGAGGTGGGATAAAGATTGAAATAATGACTAGTGGCTATTAAACTGAATATCAACGACAATCAGGACACAAGCAGTACGACATAGGGTCACTTTAATTTCAGAATCCTTGGAAATGCAAACCTCCACCACCTTAGTACAGATCGTACCAGAGTCCCTATACTAGCTGTTACATACCAGATCTTTACCTGACGGTGCAAATACATGTATTAGACGCGAATTTATCATCAACCGATTCCGGATTTCAAGAACGATTTGGTTACGGTTACATTGACATAAATTTGTCTGTCGGTCGGAGAGTATAGGTGGAAACAGGATACGAGACCTGGTGAATATTTTGCTTTCTGACATAACTACAGAGGTACACATGAGCCCCGACAAAATAGGCAATTTTAAATCTGTAACGGGTAACACCTAAACTGAGCGTGTTCAGTCATGAAGCTTATAGCAGCAACATGACATTTCGGACATAATATCCATTGTACAGCAGTTATGATGTAAGAATATAACTAGCGAACTAGTCGGCATTTAGCAAACTTACCGACTTTAAGTTCGGGGCGATTTACAGGTCAATGTCAGCTGTTGTTAATCTCCGTGTAAACAAATCGGAGCATAAACATCCTTTGTACTTCCGTCGAAGTAAAAGTGACGTTCTGATTGGCCTAATATATTAGTCAGCCAATCGAAACACTCTATACAAAAGTGTTTGGTTTCCGAGCACTATCTGTAAGCACGGGCATTGGTTATGTGTCACTGGTATTGTGGCTAGATACTGGTTTCTGAAATAAAAGTAATAATAACCTAGCAATGTGGTTAGTCTTTAATTTGCAATGATAAAATTTCCATCTATGACTGGATCGCCAATGTTGAGAAGGCTGTGCGTAAGAAGGAAAATATAATTTTCACATAATTGCACTGAGGATAGTTGAAACAAAGACATATATATCACATGTGTCATATATGTCCCTGGTTGAAATTATAGTTACATAGTTTATAAAAAAGAGTCAGTTACTTGAAAGAGTACACGCAGTACGGCGAGAAATGAGTGAGCGCAATTTTCCCGCATCTGATGGGTACTCCTCAACGACGGATCTCTCTCTCTCTAAGGCATTACAGAGATCGCTAACGTCTGGTCATCAAGGAAGTTACCCAATAAACAAACTGAAGTTATCATAGTTGTATTCACATGGTGTTTGCTGTTGTGTTTCAACATTAATTTGATAATATTAGACCCAAATGTGAGTTTGAACTTCTTGAACGCTGATAAAAGCCCAAAACTAATAAGTGATTCCTGTATTTTCACGATATTCATTCGATCCGACAAAATCAACATATGTTTACGACGCTGTACTCGTAACAGGTGGGGTGTTTATGTGCTAAGGTGCCTACCTATAACATCTCAGACGTCTAAGTAAAAACGTCTGAAAATATCATAATCACGTTGGGATGTAGGTCCAAATGGTGCCCATGTCCCTGTGGTAGGTACCAGCGTTAACTCCTCTCCGGATTAGAAAATTGATGTGTATCTACGCTCTCATAACAGCTTTAAATCTTAATATTGAAATGTTAATTATAAGTTTTTTGAAATGCATTTGAACGGAACATTGACACCCCGCAGGTTTGGAAGAGAAAATATCATATCTCAATTGCCGTGATAAAGTGGATAAATGCCATGTGTTCAGCCCAAGAGGCTTCTGATTCGTGTTACGCAATTGAAGGGAGACAACTCTCAAAGACGCATTTCTTTCAAGATTAAAAAAAACACTACCTCAAACGTTATTAAGAAGATTATATAAACACCCTCCTCCTCTCCGGCTCCCTTCTTCCATGCAACGGAGTGGGTGTATGGTGGCGTTAGGTATATGTATCCGTCCGTCCGTCTGACACAGGTCGGGATTATAAATTAACAGGTTGGATAGAGCGCTACCATCTTCTGTGTTTGTGTTAGTGTAAAAAAAAATGTTTGCTTTCGTGGAATTCCATCTGGTATCTGACTTCGAGAAGAAAAATGTGACCAGTTTTGTATATTTCATTCTGAGAGACAACATCGAAGGTAAACAGAGGTACATGTACAATAAATCCTGCTTAACGATTTACCCAAAATAATGCCACTTCCTGTTAGATTTACGATTTACCAAAAGTAAGACCACTGCCTTTTCGTATTTGCTTTTTACCAAACCTATGACCATTGGCTTGTCATGCTCTACGATTAACCAAAAGTTAGATTACCTCCTGTCATGATTTACGATTTACCAAAAGTAAGACGACTTCCTGTCATGATTTACGATTTACCAAAAGTAAGACCACTGCCTATCAAGCATTACGATTTACCAAACCTAAGAGCACTGGCTTGTCATGCTTTACGATTTACCAAAAGTAAGAACACTTCCTGTCATGATTAACGATTTTCCAAAAGTAAGACCACTTTCTGTTATGCTTAACGAAGTAATGAACACCGATAAGTCCAGAATTAACTACCAAATCTATATTGGCGGACGTAGTACACAAAAGACAAAGCTGAACCTTGGTATTCTTCCGTTGTGATCTAGAATTAGTAGCAAGTGTATAGATATCTTAAATTAATTTCGTTTTGATTTGATCTTCTCGATTCTAATCAGCACCATAATTTCCCTTTGCAGTGTTTTTTTTTTTTTTTTTGTTAAATTACAGATTATATTAAAGTCAGAAGTGTTCATTCCTTTGATAAAATAGACATTTAATATCAATTTCCATTTACATTTTCATCATATGATCATATACCGATGACACTGTATATCGTATAAGGGAGATAACTGGAATGATCTAAAGGTTCTAACCAATTATCGATAATGTTTTTGTTAATTGCATTGGAGATTTTCTTTCTGATACACGAACAAACACAAATCGAAACGCCATAACAGTTATCATAATACAAACAATTGTTTTAATTCTTTGATATCCATAACTTTAATAGGCATCAGTATAGCCAAAGTTCACCAGAAAACCTCTGGAACTCTCCAGGAAGAAGGCTAAATCCCAATGTTTTGGAACGTAAAGGTATATAATTAGTCACATGGGATATTTGCTAAATGTACATTTAGAGAAACACCAACGTACGACATGAGGCGATGACCTGCATCCTCCCTTTTCAAGTAAAGGGTTTGATTGGCACAAACGAGGCAAAGTGTTAAATATTTAGATGATAAAGAATACAAAGTTCAAAGAAAAAGAAGATAAAGATATATCTGCACAAATTTAAAATGATAAAAACAAAAGGTAAATTCATATGAAAAAGATTAATTGAAAACTGAAAGGCACAATTTCCGGACAAGATTAAAATTCTCATCAAAGTGCAGTAACTCTTTCAAACGAAACACTGTTGAAGAAAACCGAATACCACGTCGTGGTGATCAAGCTTCAAGACTAAAGTAACGAGGAAAGCTACAATTTCTAATGTGTTCGGCAGAACTAAACTATTGAGTTTGCTGTTCTTCTCTTAACTGCATCGATAATGTCAAAATTCTGTTCATATACATTTGTATTTCTCTTAGTAATTTGTAATACAAACACTATGATCATATAGCTGATAGCTGGCTTACAACATACATTGGCATCAAATATTCCACCCAGCTACATGTATAAAACATGTAATGATAAATCAGCAGTATTTACAACATCTGATAACACGGCCAGATAGACACCCGCTCGCTTTTGCCCTAGCTATGTTAGAACATCCTATGGTAATGCCAACATACATGTATGTGGTACATCATCCAAACATTAAAATCTAATCTTATTTAACCATATTTTATGTTCTTCTTCTTGGTTACTTGTGGAGTCATTAACTACATTCAGCCATCTACTTTAATTTACATCGATTTGTGCCACTATTTAACCCAGGAATGGTTGTTCAATCTCTCCAAGCAATTCTTGATGAAATGACACCTTACACGTAAATGTACATTTTGTACATTTCTGCACGTTCGTACGTCACGATCAGTCAAAGTCAGCCAGTATTCTAAATGATATCGTGAAACTAGAAAAATGCTTTATTGCAGAATTGTGTAGTGTTGACAATTTAAATCGTTCGAACTCGATAAAGGAGGGCGCTCTTTGATAGGTTCATGACTCGTGCCATGTAAACTGTAAGCAGATCCACTTGGATTGTGAAAACTGCGTGGTTTTCATTTGTCCGATTCAACCGGTCCAAATATAATAAAGGAATTCACGTTTCGCTAAGTATTAAGTAATGTGAATATTTTTTCTTTGTCCTCATCTCGTCTGTCTTCATTATTTTTCTTGTTTTTGTGTGTTTTTTCTGGGTATGGTATATTGTAGAAAGTCAGACTATTCAACATCTCCTCGTTCTGGCTTTCCTGCACCAAAGAAAATATTATTTCAAATCAAAACAAAACGAGCCCAAGGTGTAGCATATACAAAGTAATAAAACGATAGTAATGATGATAACAAATATTGCCAGCTCTTGAACTTCTGAAATCATTTCAGGAACTTATGGGAAGATTTTTTTAATAAATTGGAAAACGGAACAGATATGATAGCGCCGTTTCTTAACTTCAGTTGTCGTTTTAAATTTAATAGTTAGTCAGTTGACAATTCGACTTGCTTTGCCTAACTGATTGGTTCGGGATCGTGATGACATCACTATGATGATGAGATTGTGACGTCATCCTTCATGGTGATGGTGTACATGATTATATTTTGATATGAGATTTACCTTACGCCGAGAGGACCGGGTACAGACCCGATAAATAGCACGAAGTAGTTCTATGATGCACATGATACAAACAGCTATGTACAGGTATATAAGGGCATTTGCCATGTCACGTGCTGTGTTTAAGGTGTCACAGTCGATGGTTGATAAACTCCCTCTGAAAAGGTACAAAACTTTGGTACAGATAGCAACATACAGCGGATGGGTGACGAGCTCGTCATTAAATAAGAAGGTCAGGGTTCGATCCCTGTCTCGGACGTGCAAGTCGCTTGCATGACCAGATTTCTCAGATTCAGGTTTCATTCAAGAGAAGAACTATATCACTTGTCAAAATTAATTCTAAAATTATTCAAAAATGATACATGTCACGAAATGTCTTTTGCTTCCAGATTGTTTTGACAAAAAACAAAAATTCGTTGTCTGTGATAGATACAGGAAACTTCCATGATAAAACTTACGTATGTATTAAAAGGATTTTATTTATTTATTTCGCAGCATTACAAGAAGGAAGGAGATACTCACGGAAGTTGGACTTTACTTCTTTTACTGAAATATAAAAATTGAGTATACATGAGACTTAATAACAAGTTTCTGTTTGAGAAAACGGTTCTGCGTACTTAGATTTACATATTGAGTAACAGATTTTTGACGTAGTTATCTGCCCGTCAAAATGATATTCGATTCGAGTTTCGAAGAAGGCGATTGCTAACACCGATTCCGGTCTTACAAACCAATATTTAGTCTGTAAAACAAACACTTCATACCTAATTGATTTTCAAGTTCATAAAATCACAGGTCTTAAAGACAGTAATTATATCCGGAAAGAGCGAGTCATTTTGATATAGGACTTTGTTATAGTTTACCATCCCTAAGCTCTATAGATATATTAACGTTAGTTCTATACAAAGTCATTATACTTATTGAACTTTAATAGATCAGAGAGGAATCCGCTCGTCGGCTAAATACTCCTTTTATATCTGTTTTTGTAAACATTATCCGAGTTCTCAGGACAATACTGCTCGTGATGTTTCCACTAGCAATGAAATAGGTTATTGAAGTTTAAAAATATCTGGTTTATTGTGTGTATGGTCACGAAAAAGTTTGTATAGGGGTCGTACTTCACCTTTCTTCGTTTGTAAGCCTATGTAGTTCGCTATGAGGGAAATCAGTACGAACTTATAGAGCATTGGTACAAGAGAAAACAGATATACAGCATGCAGAATGTTTACCTGTAGATAGATATACAACACGATTTAACCTCTTAATGGTCGATAGTCAAATAAGTTCCTACTTTAAGCATTGTATTTATGTAAATCATGAGCTACAATGAAAATAGTACAACAGTATCACGATGCCTCACACCACCGAACGTACTTATAAATCAAGGGTTCTATGAATTTAACTTTGGATTCGACGTGAACGGCTAATTATTATATGTATTGTTCACTTACGGCCTTATGATCATTTCATTGGTTATGGTTACATACCTGCACGTGCATATGGACGTGACATTAGTTGCGACACATTCGTTATATCCGGGAAGGTAGACGGTGTCTTTAAGAGCTAGAAAAGCCGTGATGGTGGCGATCAACATAACGCTTTCGATAGATAACTGCAAGTTTGTCTGAAACGTCAGATATACATTGGGAATCAGATATATCTTAATTGGTTATCGAACCTTCTAATTAATTGGCGAGTGACTCTCTAAAAGGGTTTATTGACACACACACGTTTCAGACAACCAAAATATTTCAGTGAATTGTATCGTTTTATTTATCCGCACATATGTAATTTCGATCAGCTTTTGAATATAGAATCTTAATTCTATATACTTTTCTTAGTTCAAACGACTTTCTTATTGATTTCGTTTAGTCATCCATACATGCATTCACTCATCCATACGTGCGAACCAAGTAAAAGTAACAGACCTCATCAACTTCTATCAATATTAAACAAATTGAATCATTTAGCGGTTGATCAGGATTTTCCTATACTTTCCTAGTATTACAGTAGTTTCACGGATTCAAGGTCAATCAAAACGAGATATTCTGTAATACTTAAGGTAGAAAAATTTACTGTCAATCAAATATATTGTAAATCGAAGTAACGCTATGACGTCACATGTATTACGTAACCAGTATCTCACATATGCATAACAAGTACATAGACAACTGAGAAGACACACTTGAATGGCACTTGACCGCGGTATTGCTATTTGATGAGAGCTGTAGCAGTTTTCAGTAAATTTCAAAAATAAAAAAAAAACAAAAAAACCCTTAACAGTTTGATCAACTGCGCAAACGTGTCTAGGATCATAGATATCTAACCTAGATGCCGCACGGCTTATCTGCGACTGTTGACGCAACGTGTCTGCAGCGCCTCCATCTTGGAAAGGTATTGCCGCTAGCGCCAAACCATAGCTACACAGAGGCCCTCATGCTAAAAATCCCACTAAAAATGTACCTCGGTCACTAGCCCACGTATCAACACAAATAATACTTCATTTTAAAGCCGAGAAAAAGTTCTATGCTGTAGTCATCTCATCTCAAAGTGGAGGAATCAAAATTAAAGAAAAAATAACGGAAATATTTAAAATGTAAAAATTACTAAAAATTTTTTTATTTACTCCTCATTTATTTTGCATAGGATAATTTTTAACAATAAACTGAAATATAATAACCTACCCCCCCCCCCCCACCCCCACCCCCCCAAAAAAGAAAAAACCCAATAAAATATTAAGAAATTATTAAGAAATAATAAATAGCATTTTATTCAAATTCATCCTTTTTTCAAATAGTAATAAATAACTTGATTGTGGCAATATATAGAAGCGATCATGTTGATCTGTGGACCTGGTCCCTGGACAGGTGTTCACCCCAAAAATGAATTTATTTTGTAATGGCTTACATATCAAAGTGCAATTAATTATATATCAGTGTCATTCATGCGACTTCATGATTTGCTGGACCTCATTTTAAGGGGGAGGGGGATGGTTAATGAACAATATACCCTAGGATTTACGCGCTTAATTTGTAGAGTGAATAATATGTGTGAATACATATTGCTAATCTATTAAAGGTTATATCAGCATGCAGAACACTGAATGCAAAGTGCCACACAGCAGCTAACAGCCTCTGACCATGAGATGCACTAATTAATAATATATATAGTCACGTGCAGTGTGACTGTGGGTGTCTTAGTAAAAACATGAAACTAAGAGACATTTTCATTCACTGGTTACTTTCTTGAATTTTGGTGCATTAGGAATGAGGAGACCACAGCAAAACAAAGTAAGGTAATATACAATCGGATCTCGCTTGCAGGCGATTCTAATGAAGTGCAGCATGTTGTTTGCCTTCACACTGAACATTCACATACATGTAGAGAAGGTGAACCTGTAATCCAATTACTGTTTGAAATTGATGCAACAACAATTACATCATTCATGACAATAATGACCTTGCATGAAGTGCAAACTACTTTATCTTAAGTCCCATATTGCACCAGCCAAATACAAAGTATACACTCTCTTCATACGCAGCACTGGTACCATAAACCAGTCCACAAATCATGTCTTCTGTCTACATTTCTGTATTCATCACTAATAAGCCCAAGATCACTATGTATTGTACAGGTTATAGAAGGCGTCACTAAGTTGTTATAACTTGTGCCTAATCCCGGTTGTTTGATGGCAATAAAAATATGTTTAAATCAACAAGTTATAGACTAGTTGCTTATTTCGTGACCAAAATGAAACTACTGTCAAACATAGAAGGTAACTATAATAAATCACACTACTTTGCTAACATGTCAGTGCACAACAGATTGTTACAGAAAAAAAACAACAACAAAACTACTCCTTACATCAGGTGAATGACCATTTGCTCAAATACTTAATGATAGTACATCAAAAACCTCTTTCATCACTACTTGAAACACTGCCTACTACAATGACATCTACTACTCAACACTATATATATGTTTACAAGTCAAAATGAATAGGCCCTATCATACAAAGGTAAATCGGATAAGGCACACATTCTGTAGAACATCAATTTGTACATGGTAGTAACTTGACAGCTTGTACAATACCTTCCCAAGATGGCGGACCGCTAGACACGTCACAGGCGCCGTCGCGCGGCATCTAGGATTATATATCTATGTCTAGGATGAACAAGATTTATCCTGCAGTGCCTTACCACTAAAATTCTATACATTCATTTCAAAAGTGTTCCATATTTCAAAATAAACTTCACCGTGGCAACGAAGTAACATGACATAGAAGCAGTAGTTTGGACAGGGCGGATTTTAAGAAAAGAACTGCAATCAATCGTAACACTTGGACCAATGCACAGGTACAATTGTTAAGGCAACTAGTACGTGGGTCACATGCATAATCATAATAAAGGCATATATGCCCTGGAAAACAAGCCAAAGGGATGAAGATGTTGAATACTTACCACCCAAGCCGAGTCGTTGTGTATCAAACCAAGTAATCCCACAAACCCCGTAGACATGAACTGCAACGGAATATCCACAATGAGAGGTGAGTCAACATTTATACACAAGCAGGCGAGTCAACATTTATACACAAGCAGGCGAGTCAACATTTATACATGTACAAAGTCATGTTAAGTCAGCAATTATACTTGATGAGATTAGTCAACAAGTGTTCACTGGGAATTGAGTCAACATTTGTATATGTGAGATGATTCAACAGTTGTACACGGTGAAGTGAGTCAAGAATTGTGCACGATGATGCGAGTCAACATTTGTTCATAGTGAGGCTAGGCAACTTATGGTAACGTGAGGCGGGTAAACAGTTGAAAACGATGAACATGTGTGATAATTTTTGAGTGAGAGGGTCAACATTTATACAAGGTGAAGAGAGTCGACATTTCTATACGACGAAGTGGGACAACGGTTGTTCAGAGATATGAGTCAACATTTTCGCTCGGTGAGATGAGTCAACAATTGTATTGTGTACGGCAAGGAGAGTCAACATTTGAACATGGTGAAGGGGTCAACAGTAGTTCAAAGTGACACGAGTCAACATTTTCATTCGGCGAGGTGAGTCTACATTTGCACATGGTGTTTGTTTTTATTTGCTGGGTATATCGTCCGAGGGTCATTTTGAGGCGAGTCTTGTAATAGATGGTGCCTACGTATACAAGAGATCCGTCACGAGGTTCGCCGTATGCCTTCCAGAGCGATTAGGGAGACACAAGGACACAACCAAGTCAGCACAGATCATTCCGTTTTTTAGTTTCCCGAGATCCAACTACACACATCGAACCTTCACCTGGGGTTACGTAGACCAACGCTCTAAAAGGGAGGGGTCAACATTTGAGAAAAAGAAAATAAACGAAATGTTGTGATTTGGACATTGGGAGATAAAGTTGCACATGAAGAAAGGAATTACGTGTGATCTTGTGATCAGTTGAAACAGACAGCAGGATATCGTCAAATTCAAATTTGCTTAATTTTCCTGGCGTCGCCAGAGCACTGATGTTCGCCGATGAGACGATACGGAAGGATTCACGGAGACGGAAAACCAGTCAACTTACCAAACGGTTTCCTAAATGCTACAATTTTGCAGGTAGTTGTTTGTGCATTAAGAATGTATAGATTAATTGTATGTGGGTTGGACCGGACTTGTAATATTTAAAACCAGTTTTTAGACTATACATATTTCAGTGAAACAAATCACAAAGCAAAGAAACAGTAATTCATTAACAATAGAATTTTCTTTTGTTTTGATTGAATTGTTCAACGGCTAAGATTTCACACAATAAAAACTTGCCTTTTGCGAATAAAAGCATGACTAGAGTAGAATAAGGCACTTTAATCAAAGTTCGCGGTAGATTAAAACCACCTGGAGCAATTAGGATAAAATTCATCTATTTTTTATTTCAATGTGATGTCCTGTTTGATTACAACGTAATAAACTATCCTGGTACATGTAGTCGTGTGTTGTGTACAGTGTCTCATTACTAAACCAAACATCATTAGGTACACTCCCGTGAATCAATTTCTGACACAATGGTTGTTTTCTCTGTTGTCAAATGTACAGATGGTCGACAAACGTAAATGAATAATTCTGGATGACTTTAGCCGATTGCTCAATGACAGAGAATTCATATATCTATTTATATCTATTTATATATAGATATGTATGTATACTTTCATTATTACTTCATTATACAGGGACACTGATTGCCTCGGAAATTTGACAATTCACTTGTCGTACTGTCGTTATTACTTCATTGATCATATCTCTATTCCAGTAATACGTATCCAACAAACATTTGTTTGTTAGGATCCGGTACCAATATTGAACCATACCGTCAATATTACTTACTAGATTGAATATATATATTTATCCTGCAACTGGAACCGCCGTGGTCGGAATACATCATTTTTGCTGTATTCGGCAGTGACGGAAAACAGAAAAATATCAGTTGTTGAAATATGCGATTTTACATGTTGTAATGAACAAAAATGTGATTTATGAAAATTCATAAAATCGCTGTCATATCCGTTGAAGTTTGGAACTACGTTTCTGCGCGGAGCAATTATTTTGGCGTACGTCATTAGACAAAATTCAGCGTAACGTCGATGTCAGGTAAACATAGATTGAACGACAAAACTGTTGAAGTTTCAGTAGTCTCATTTTCGAACGATGATGCAGGATAAATAGAATACATGGTTAGTGATTAAGATATAAGCTGCATCGTTTGGCTCGGAACAGAAAGACAAACGTGACTCACACTTTCGTCTTTCTTCACCCTCGCCAAAGTACAGCTTATATTTCAAGACACCCCCCCTCTCTCTCTCTCCCTCTCTCTCCCTCTCTCCCTCCCTCTCTCTCTCTCCTCTCTCTCTCTCTCTCTCTCTCTCTCTCTCTCTCTCTCTCTCTCTCTCTCTCTCTCTCTCTCTATCTCTCTCTCTCTCTCTCTCTCTCTCTCTCTCTCTCTCTCTCTCTCTCTCTCTCTCTCTCTCTCTCTCTCTCTCTCTCTCTCTCTCTCTCCCCTCTCTCTCTTCCTCTTCCCTTCTCCCCCTCTCTCTCTCTCTCTCTCCCTCTCTCTCTCCCCCCCCCCCTCTCTCTCTCTCTCTCTCTCTCTCTCTCTCTCTCTCTCTCTCTCTCTCCCTCTCTCCCTCTCTCCCTCTCTCTCTCTCTCTCTCTCTCTCTCTCTCTCTCTCTCTCTCTCTCTCTCTCTCTCTCTCTCTCTCTCTCTCTCTCTCTCTCTCTCTCTCTCTCTCTCTCTCTCTCTCTCTCTCTCTCTCACTCTCTCTCTCTCTCTCTCTCTCTCTCTCTCTCTCTCTCTCTCTCTCTCTCTCTAACACATTATTAGCTGAGGTGAATTATTACATGTAATATACAATTTGGTTATCATTTGGATTTCAATTTTTGAATCACAGAATATCCTATTTTATTGGAATTAAATTGAGGTTAATAAGATAGTTTAAATTGTTGTTGTCCGTATCCTTAGTCAAGTTGGAGATGCTTTTTAAGTATTGAATTAAAAAGCTTGACTTTCTATCACTTGCAAAGAAAAGGTCAAATAATGCCGAGTGAAATAGATATCACTGTTGTTTGATATCACTGATGAAATGTGAATCAAAATCAATTTCACTCGGGTCGTGTGTCTGGTGGAAGGTGTAATTATCATATTATGTATGCACACCGTTTAAAGGAAAACCTATTATTCCTTACTTCTAGGATTTTTGAGATACACGCTTATCATTTGGCAGATCCATAATTGCAGGTGATTTACGTGTTTCTTAAGTATATTGCGTTACGCAAAATTAATAAATCATTATCAGTATATATACATGTAACAATATCACTGTGACAGGTTTACCTCAAATTGTTCTGTGCCAGAGATCGGATCAAAGAAATTAGAACTGACATCTTGCAATAATTAGCAGTTTTTTTTCAAGTTCATTTTCATCAAAATGCGTCTCTAAAAACCGCACGAACCAAAAACGAAATGACAAATGATCGTGTTTGTTTAAAATATAGGATCTTATGATTTTATAAATCGGGTCTTGAAAGTTTTGCGGGCCGTGACAAGCGGAAAGTAAAACGCCGAGAGGAGTTTCATAAAATCTCCTGTGAAATGGTAACAAATTTTCATTACATAACTTCTGAAAGTTACATTTTGACAGATTTAAAAGTGACAAGTGAACGGCTCAAATTAGCGAAGGCAGTCATTTCGTTGCGCCATTTTTCATTGATACCGTAGAACCATTATTGATCTAATGACATAACAATTTCTGACTGACCGCCAACAGGTGTATACGATACTAGTGAAATATACCCAAATGGACGAAATCACTGGTAGATGATGTGATAACATGCCTTACGTACCGACGCAGCTGAGAATAACACGATGAGTGCCTTTATACTTCTGTCCTGGAACAGTGGGCCTTGAGAAACGTATTCAATCAGAATACATACAGTTGTACCTGTTAAAAAATAAACATAATCAATTCCTGATAAAAATAAGTGTTTTTTTTCACATTGTAAGCTGTATATAAATCACATTTCGTAGTAATAGCTCTCCTGAGCTAATATTACGTTTTATTGCATGCGACAGAAAATAAAATTCTTGTATCTTGTATTGACGAAGGTGAATGTTAAACTCCCATCTGGTTGCCATCTATCAGTGCTTCATATCGGGACAGATTCTAACATAGATCTACAGTGACGAGTCCCTGTGTTTTCAGATAAATATCGTTCTACTGTTACAAATTCTCGTGTCCCCGTGTTTTCAGATAAATATCGTTCTACTGTTACAAATTCTCGTGTCCCTGTGTTTTCAGATAAATATCGTTCTACTGTTACAAATTCTCGTGTCCCCGTGTTTTCAGATAAATATCGTTCTACTGTTACAAATTCTCGTGTCCCCGTGTTTTCAGATAAATATCGTTCTACTGTTACAAATTCTCGTGTCCCCGTGTTTTCAGATAAATATCGTTCTACTGTTACAAATTCTCGTGTCCCCGTGTTTTCAGATAAATATCGTTCTACTGTTACAAATTCTCGTGTCCCCGTGTTTTCAGATAAATATCGTTCTACTGTTACAAATTCTCGTGTCCCTGTGTTTTCAGATAAATATCGTTCTACTGTTACAAATTCTCGTGTCCCTGTGTTTTCAGATAAATATCGTTCTACTGTTACAAATTCTCGTGTCCCTGTGTTTTCAGATAAATATCGTTCTACTGTTACAAGTTCTCGTGTCCCTGTGTTTTCAGATAAATATCGTTCTACTGTTACAAATTCTCGTGTCCCTGTGTTTGCAGTCAGCAATGTAATTTTCTGTAATAGCTGATATCAAAGGCAACTTCTTAGGTTTTTCATTACCTCAAAAATTGTGTTTAATTCTTGTTCTACATAGTGAGAAGATTAATTTATTTCTGAATCAGTAGGTACAGTGTATATACCTGCACGTGCATTAATATGGTTTTAGGGGTACTTCTCCATCTTGTATCCATCTGATCAATAATTGGTTTGTAGCTCATGGATTTAGTTCACTCAGTTTTCAAAGTGCATTACATCACGACTCATTAACTATTGTATCGGAATAATTCATCGCTACATTGAACTGTAAAAGTCTCTCGCGTGCATGCATAATGACAGCCAAATCAATTACTTTAAATTTGTCTTTTTACCTATAATATCGACCAAAATCAGAGAAAAGGATTTGGTACAAGAAACTTACGAAGCCATCTCCTTACAATAGTAGTTTACAAAATATTTTAGACTGTCACTTTTTTTTTCCTTTCGTAGAAAAATAAATAATAATACTTTTGAGAATTTTTTCTTTCATCTTTTTCATTTCTTAGAGAGATTTAATTTGTTTTCATTATAGTATCTATAATTGCAATAAAAACCAATGAATTTCAATTGATGTGTAATAATTTCTATATTATATATACCGAGTATTCGACAATTAACTATCAGTCCTTAATGTTTAAATTTTGATTAGCCTTACAATCGTGAACGTGCGATGTCCAAATAATGATTTGGAGTAATACATTTAAAAAATATTGAGAAGCAGTGCTGCCAATTTCCTGTGTATAGGTTATCTTTTTTTTTACCATGTAAAATATTAAATTTTGAATATCATTAGTTTTTTAAAATAAACAAGATAAAAGAATGCGTTTCTATGTTAAAATAACTTCACATTATTTTCAAAAAAAAATATTTTAAAAAGACAACATTAACTTGTACTTTGATTTAGTTCACACACAACACTGACTTACTTCATGTTTTAGTTGATTTAAACATATTTTATTGTCGACAAATAGACAAATGGATAAGAGACAAGTTCTTGCAACTTATGAACTCTTCTCCACAAATACAGCACAGATAATATATTACAACACGTAACATATGTTCATACAATAAACATAAAAATACAGAATTGTAGACTTAATGTTTAAATCAGTTTGTCAGCGGATATTACTGGAAAATTAAGAGAGAGAGAGAGAGAGAGAGAGAGAGAGAGAGAGAGAGAGAGAGAGAGAGAGAGAGAGGGAGAGAGAGAGAGAGAGAGGGGGGGGTTCATGGTTGACTGCATTTGGAAAGATTTAGGTAGCATCAAATCGTTTGGACTGTTGATTATATTTTTGAACTGATTTTATTATTTCGCAATTAGTTTGGTATGAGTAAGAGTTAATATCACCCCATAATATGTTTTCTACGTTAAAAATCACGTCTAGGTCATATAGAGTATCAAACAATATTCGTCTACAATTAGAAAATAAAGCGCACGAAAGAAAATAGTGACTTGCGTCTTCAACGACGTCTCCACAAGAGCAATTTGGAGATTGACAAATTCCCACCGTAAATAAATCTGAGCACATTCCACTACAGTTGTTCTTATTCGACAATGTATAACGGAAAGGAAACGGTTGCCAGAGTGTTGATAATCTGGAACTGAAATGTTTACAGGAGAAAGCTTAGATCTGAAGGTATTTAAGGACGGGGCACTTTTACAGAATTATCTACGTTATTCCACAAATTTATAGACGACGGCACAAAGGATTTTTTCATAGTATTTAGACGACTGTGGGGTTTTTGGGTTTCTTAATTCAATGTTTAAGTCACGCCTAATTGGTGGAAGTAGATTTACCAAGTTAGAAGGGGCTATCTTATCGTGTATTTTGTAGAACGTAGTCAATTTTGATTCCTCTCTTCTTTGTTTGAGAGAAACCCAACCTGTTTCACGATACAAAGACTCACGAGACGCTATGGATGTGAGACAGGTAACGATTCGTGCAGCCTCTAATTGGACTTTTTCTAGTGAGTCGGACAATGTTCCGAACAGCCATCCCAAACACAAGAGGCGTACTCAAGAATGGGTCTAATAAACGATATATAAATAGTATTAAGAGTAGACTTATTTACCTTGTACTTATGTTTTTTCATGGCACACACTTTTTGAGAAGAAGTTTTAATGAGGTTAACATGGTCACTCCATTTGCAATTACTGCTAAAGGTTACACCCAAGTGACGATGCGAATCATTGAATTTAATGGGTTCACCATTGCATACCAAGTTTGGTTTGGCAGGGTTATTTCTAGGAGAAAAGATAACTGCCTCCGTTTTAGCAGGATTGAATTTCATAAGCCATTGGTCTGACCAAGTTTGAAGACGATCTAGATCCTGATTCAGGGCAACTTCAATTTCATCTGAAAAGGCAGATGATTTTTGAAGAGAGGAATCTCAGCAAATAATCTCACAAAAGTGTTCATGGGATCAGCTAAGTCGTTGATGTAAAATAAACACAGCAAGGGACCCAGTACAGAACCCTGTGGTACCCCAGCCCTGACCGGCTTAAAAGGAGAAGTATTGTTTCCATATATAACAGATTGGTATCTATTGGTCAAGTAATTTTCCAACCAGGATAGTAACACTCCATCTATTCCATACTGATGGAGTTTGAACAAGAGACCCTTATGCCAGACTTTGTCAAATGCCTTGGACAAATCGCAAAATACAACACAAGAATATTCATTATTATCCAAAGAGTTAACAATACTGTGATACATTTCTATCAACTGATAGACTGTGGAGTGGCCGGGAAGGAAACCAGATTGATACTTGTAAAAATTATTGTTGTCTCTAGCAAAGTTAAAAAATATATTTAAAGACACATCTTTCCATAGTTTTTGACAAGCAACTTAGCAAAGAAATTGGTCTATAATTTGAAAGAACATGAGCATCTCCTTTTTTAAATACTGGTAAAACGTGTGCTTTTTTCCATTCCGAAGGGAAAACAGCATTCCTTAAAGACCTATTAAATAATAATGTAAGGGGTTGTGAAATAGTTCTGGCTGTAGCTTTTAGCATACGGTGACTAATCCTGTCTGGACCAACAGCTTTCCCTATGTCAAGAGTAGATAAAATATCATAAACATCTTTTTCTTCGATCATAAAACTAAAAAGTGAATTAATGCATTTTCTGACAGATTTATATTAAAATCATCAGTACTGGAGACAGAAGTGAAGTAATTGTTGAGGATTTCAACCTTTTCCTGGTCACAAAATGCCATTTTGGTAATACTATTAACATTGTATTCTAGAGGAGGTATAGAGCGAGGAGAGGAGGAGAAAAAGCTGTTAAGAATTTGCCAAAAGGCACGGGGATTTTCAGTTTTTGCCGCAGAGACACGTGATTCCAAATTACAGAAGAAATCGGCCTTGGCCTTCTTTTTCATATTATTTACTCTGTTTCTCATACCCCTGTATGAAGACCAGTCTTCTTGGCGTTTAGAACGTAATGCCTTTTGTTTGAGTCTGTCCCTTATACGACAGTGTTTACATAAAACCGAATCGAACCAGGGTTTGTCGGAGGGACGGATAGTAACTGTAGAATTTGGTATAAAGATTCTAGCCAGATCTAAAAATTGCCTAGTGAAGTTGGAAACAGCACAATCGATAGAGGGTGCATTAGAAATTAAATCGTGCCAATCTACTGATGATAACGAACCATTAAGCCCAATGTAGTCTGCCCTATTATAATTCCACACATCTCGTAAGATGTTTTACAATTATAAGAAAATGATAAATTTATAAAAGTCGCTTTATGATCACTAACAGTATTGTCTACACTGAATGTCCCACTATCGAGGCATTTAATATCCGGAGAAATAAATATAGGATCTAAAAGTGTAGCTGTGTCAGTGGTTACACGAGTGGGCTCGGTAATAACGTTTACGAGGTGATAGTTGGTTACTAATGTATCTAACTTATTATTTCTGTGTAACATATCAACATTAATATCGCCAAGGATAACTATATCAGAACAATAATCAGAGACAGGTTCACTCGAAATTTTGATAGAAAGAGTTTCTGGAGTTTGGTGGTCTATAAAATAATCCAACCATGATACGTCTATTGTGGCACATAACTTCCGCCCAGATGCATTCTAGATTTGCCGGTTCAAACTCGAGTTTGCGACAAAATTTAATAGAATCTGAAAAATATATAAGAACACCTCCACCAAAAGCATTTCTATCTTTACGTATAGAAGTGGAATAGCCAGGAATAGAAAGAGAATCACTTACGACTGAATCGTCTATATGTGTCTCCGAAAAGCACAAAATGTCAAAATCACTGATAAAAGAATCGAGAAAAGAAAATTTATGTCTAATGCTTCTAGTATTTAAGTGGAGTAAGCTCAAGTCAAAGTTGCCATGATTGTCAGGACCAAGGTTTGTTTCAACATCTCCACTTAGAATTAAGATAATAAATAGAAAGGGAAAGTCAGCGCTATAAAAACCGGATATACATATATCTAGACAATGATAAACATGTTGGAAAATCCATATGGAATATATCTTAGTCAAGTCTTTAAGTAATGTTAAAAGAAATAAAAGGAAATATGCTGGGTTCCAAGATATTTTACATGAGGACGTAAACGAGTAGATACTACCGTTAAACCTTCCGATTGACGCCCTATAATCCTCTAAGGAATTACCCATTATCTAGTATACAAACATAGGTAGGTATAACATACAAGTAGAGGACATCAATCGGAATACAGTCGACTCTGAATAAAAAGAATGGTAGAGAAAGAATGTAAAAGGTAGGCAGAAAGAATAGGGTAAACATGAAAGAGTAGGGTGGATAAACGATAGGCTGAAAGAGAGAAACTAGAAAAAATATGTGTCTATAACAAAAAACATTCATCGTTGACATATCACTAATGAGAAAGGGGTAAGTAAAAAGTCAAACTATTTCCGGGAAATACCATCAAACATATAAACATATAAGCGATAAACCAAAATAACCAGTACGCGCACATACTCCCATACACATCTGCTAGTTGTTTATCTGTCAAGTGCGCACACAGAACCTATGCACATTTATCCCTGCAACTTGCACACATATCCGTACGAAAAGCATCAAACATACATATACTGCATTCTCCATACACACCATATAGCGCACATACTACCTATGGACGTATGAGTAAACAAGAATAAAGATACTTTTACAATTAAACCTTAGACAGTGAGGGGTCCAAGTATATAGGCTGACAAGACAAAATTTTGGATAAAAAAATGGACAGCAAGGGAGAAAAAAGTATGAAGCATATACATTGCAGCATAGCATAGTTAGACATCTTAAAAAGTAGAGTAGAAGATATAATATCAAAGACAAGTAATAGTCGTGACATGTACAAATATATGTAGGGGGAAAATAACACATGTGTTGTCAAAAAAAACCAAAGTAGATTGATAAATACATGTAAGTATCAATATGTGTTGGAACTTAAAAAAAATAGTGCATATTAATACGTCAGATTAGCAAAAACCATACAATACTTAATATTAAATCCATATCATTTTATTACGTACTTGGCATTGTACAACAGGGTAGTCGAAAGGCAACAATGTACGGATAAATACATGAAAAAAATCATGATTATACATGGACTCCGAAAATAACGTAGTACCATCACTTCTGCAGGTAAAAACTTAAAAAAAAAAACCATTTCTTTATCAGTCAAATAGAAACATTGGGTTAAAACAGCACAGGTAAGTGTGCTATACAATCGGAAGCTTCAGATAAGTTAGAAGTAATATGCACGAACATAGAAGAATCGGACTGGGGTCTTGCCCTTTAATCTGTTAAACGAGTGAAGCTAACACGTGATCTTATACCATAAGAATTACTCAGAATGTTGCGAAAAGTGCAGAGTGATACTTTTAAAATATACACAAACGTTTTTTGAAGAAAAGTAAACCGGCAACAATTCAATATGTATATGAAGAGAGAGAGAGGAGTGTGTATATGTTCTTGTTAAAGGAGATCGACGATACAGTTAAACCAAAAAGTTCAGGTAAGTACGTAAATGTACAGTAAACATACGCTAATCATACACGTAATAAATGTATTCAGTTAAATATGTAACTAATATTTACCAATCTATAGTATTCATGTATTATTACACATGTAATGGGTTCAGTGTAAATTTCATGATTGTGATTCTATATACATGACATGTGCTTAACAGGAGACATGTATATGAGTCAAAAAGTTCACAGGCCAATAAAGATTAGAAATGATACACGTGCAATACAAAGAAAGGTAGTGATGCACGTAACTGGGATATGCGCAACATAATACAGGACAGGAGCAAGCTGACTATTAAAGTTAGTACACCTATACAAAAGATGGCAAAAAGTCAGTAAGATCTTGGAAGCTATTGATCATTGTTTTCTTGGCTTCCTGGTTTGTTTAGGAAGATACGCCCATCACGCGTCCAAAACGAGTGGATTTTGTCATCATGTCATCAATCATAATTTTGTCACTGTTTTGCTTAAGTTTCTTTTCATTACTGAAAACTGCTTCACGGTCAGCGTATCTTATAAAACGGATAATAACAGATGCTTTACGATCTTTGATGGACCCAAGGATATGGCATCGAGAAATTGAGCTGCGTTGTACTTTCATCTTAAGGTGAGTGTCACAAACTTTCAAAATCGCAGCAAGGGGATCAAAAGTGGTAGAGTCTTCACCCTCGGGAGCGGGAATATCTAAGAATTTTAAGCAGGTTCTCCATGAGTATTGTTCGTGCTCGTCCAATATATTGTCATAGTTTGAGTGTTGGGTTTCTAGCTCACGAATTTTATCATTTAGAGATTCAATGGTACTGTCCTGGAGGATGATTTTTTGTTCCATCGTAGACACCTTGTCATCGACTATCTGGGAGATTTTGGCGTTGACACATTTTTCGATAAAAGTGGTCATTTAATCATTGGCCAATAAGTCAGAAACCACCTTCTGTAATGTAGGTAAGATCTCTGAAGACAAAGTTTTGGTTAATATAGAGGTCACAAGATCACTAACAGGTCCAACAAGGCCCTGGGTTATACAGTTCAAGAACGCAGGCTCTGAGGTATCTAATAGGAAGTTGGGAGTGCTCAGGGAGGAGGGCTTCACCGGGAGGAGCGGGGTGAGGGTGGGAGGGCTCGAATTCAACGGTCGTCCTTTTTGAAAGCTGATTCAACAGCAAAATCAGGCGAAGAGTCACATTCGAGTCTCTTTGCTCTTGTGGCAGAAGGATTTAATGGAGTCGAGAACTCACGAGCTTAGTCTGGAGTAATAGTTAGCTCGCTTACCTGAGTACTTGTCGGTGCGGGCACCTGTTCCTCGTGACCTACGCTGTTGTCGACGCTATGCGAGTTCATTGTTCGAGCCTATACACAAGAATACACAAACAATCCTGCGACCTTACTTCATGATTTAGTTCACACACAACACTGACTTACTTCATGATTTAGTTCACACACAACACTGACTTACTTCATGATTTAGTTCACACACAACACTGACTTACTTCATGATTTAGTTCACACACAGCACTGACTTACTTCATGATTTAGTTCACACACAACACTGACTTACTTCATGATTTAGTTCACACAACACTAACTCTCTCCATGCTTTAGTTCATTCACAACACTAACTCACCGTATGCTTTAGTTTATAAATACACAATGCTAACGTGCCGTATGCTTCAGTTGATCACTAATTGTGATGATGGCCTATACACAGCATTAGTGTATGCTTCAGTTTACTGACAATAACCGTATGTAGTAAAGTGTAATTCAACCCTCCAAAATTTCATAATTACCATTGTTTAACTTGATTTGTAGTTTACGTGGTTAGAAAGGAAGGCAAGCCTCCCAGCACTGTTTCATGCGATTTCTGGAAGTGTCAGTATCATTGAGAAAATCTTCTGGGATCACGTCATGTCAAGGTCAAACAACCTGAATGTCGTATATATATATAACCTTCTTAACAGACCAGGATAGGTCCATATTCACCTAGACTGAACCTAATTCTCATGTCACTGTTGCGATAAAGGTCAGGACTGGTCAATATAAACATAGACACATAGACTATTTCTCAGAGCGGTTGTTGTTGTTGTTGTTTATCACACCATCGACAGCTAGGGTCATTTCGAGTCCGGCTCTTCCCGTTAAATCTGTTACTTTACTGAACAACATAAAAGAGGTCCGTCGCATGTTATCCAAATCAAATGGAATAAAATGTTTTGCCCATTAAAGAACCTCTGCAGTACAGGACAGGTCCGTTTCTCAGTTTCACGAGAAGCACGGATTGTCTTACCTTTACCTGAAACGCTAGCTCACGACGTGCAATGGCGTAGTCTGCCATTACACAAGTAGAAAATGTATTAGAATATATGACATATACAAAATACGTAAAGTTATAAGATCTTACAACTTACCTCCACATATGATGGTAGCGGATATCATAAACGAGAATACAGAACATACAGTACATGTACATTTCCCCATTAGGATCATCAGGATCAATGTTTCCTACATAACAAACATCCTAGGACACAGGTGCCAGGTCTAATATAACGTCTTACTGAACAATACAGGTACGTGTGTACACGGGCGTGGAAGCAAGCTATGGAGTCCTAAGATCCTCATTGTTGTGACTACAGATGAGGAGACGTTTCCATTTATCTATAATGATAGGATTATAATGAACCCCCGACATGTCCCATCGACGATGATCTTATCGCGACTCTCTCCTTCTAAACAACACATGCAGCGCGCGCGTCCAACTGATCTATAAGAGTCGGAGATATACAGTCGTGTATATTTAAATGTCGATTTCCAAATCAGTTTACACAACTCCGCTTCATCGATGAAAAAATCCACTAACAAACACACACGCAGATCGGTTGTTTGTGTAAATAATATAGATCCACCTTTGATAGTACGTAAAGAAAGCGTGACGTTTAGTAGGTCGAACAGTCAACATTTTGATATCTACCGACCCAGTTTGGTCAGCTTAAGCAAATATTTTTAAAAAGTCTTATAAGGAGTAAAATCTTCGATTGTTTCATAATTTGTTTTCATGATATAATGCTTAGAATTCTGTTATTTACATTAATTATTTCCTGGTAGTTTTCAGATCAATACAATATTTTCCTGTTTTCAGTTGTGTTTTATCATCAAGATGTGATGCGAATATTTAGCCACATGTCCCTTCAATCGACTTTTTAATGGCGTCCAAATGCAGGAAACAGGGAAACACTTTTGATGAACAATTCTATAATGTTATGTTAGTAATGATGTTACGTTACTAGTCCTATATACTTTTGCTTGTCATGCCCCTAAAATTCAAATTTATACAAAGATTATATTGATCTCTTGTTACACACTTTGTGTGTCTGAGATAAGTTAAAAAATATTGTTTTTGAAAAATGTCGTCTTTGTCAGTCAGGTCCATCTCTTCAAAGCGCTTCGACTTGAAACGTCACCAAGAATGCTCGACAACTCTGATCGTTGGTCGTATGTGCACAGTTTCACACTTCCGTCGTCTCTTTTCCACGAGACCCAGTTCAGAGACAGTTATCTTTGACAGTCGTTTCACAGTCGTTCTCTGTCTCTGCCCTTCGCCTCGAACCGAAGACATTTCCCATAGCATTTGTGTTCGATGTTCGAATTTCCATATCAAGACACAAACTTTCTGGTTTTTTGTCCATTCTCATTACCCCGTTCGGTTCATAATCCAAGATTCCAGTCTGGAGAGTTGTTTCCTTCCAAAAATCTCTTGAACGTACACAGTTGATCATATGCAACATTTCAATAGTATCTCAGACTGAAGCGACTTATATCTTTCTCTTCCTCTTTCATTGTAGGACAACATTGTCATTATATTGTAGAACAAATGTGGTATCAAAATGGCCGGTTGTTGGTGGAGTAGAGCAGATGGTTGTTATATACAATCTGATAGTAAAATGAGCAGAAATGTTCAAAATGGTCGTAGTAAAAGACAAGTGGTCGTAGTATCCAGGTAGTTAGTAAGGCAAGTGTTACAGCGAATACCGTCCTTTATAAACACGTTACTATTGCGCTTAACCGTTTGCTTGTTCGACGGATTATCCGTCGTAATCCATCCAGAGAAATCAGGGAAAAGTATCTTCTTAAAAGACACAAACACGACTGCAGAGATCGGTCCTTTCTCAGCTTCAAGACAATTGAGATTTTTCTGAGTTTCAACAAATAGCAGCAAAAATACTGTCTGTACGTTTCGGATATCCATATATTGATAAGCACGAATGATGCTTAAGTATAGAGGGCGCTCAATTGCTTCAGTGTGTGGCTCGTGCAGCTTAGAGTTATTTGTAGTCGGGTCATTTTAGCCACGCACAGCGAGCCGGACATAGGTTGTAAAAGTGAAATTTACCTTTGTAATTTTGATATTTATGCAATTAAATTTTCAGGTTTTTCAATACTTGAAGGGGATTATTGGATGTTTGCCAAACGGTTTTACATGCCTTTTTATCTGATAAAATGTTTCTCTCTAGTTTTTTATCCTGGTCTTGAGTATCATTGTTAAAAGAGAACATTTTCCTGCTTATGTGTTATAGGCTAATGAAGCAAATTCTGTAGTGTTCGAGTCAGTGAGTATTACAAGTACCATATTTCTTGACTCATTACGACTCAAAGACAATAAACGACTACGAGGCTATTTGCTCCAAGTGTTGTGTTGTGTTGTGTTGTGAATAGTATAGAGATGTGACAAGAAAAGGAGAGACACATCAGTTACCACAAGTAGGGAGAGTCGAACTACACACCTCGGATCTCCACCTGTACTTAATAAATCAGTGTCTAATGGTAGGAAACTACTCAGGGATTATATTCTTTCTAAAGCGCTAACTTCAAATGTCTTTGCAAACTTGACATTGCTGGAAGAAAAAGAAATTTAGCTAGAATAGAAACAATTATACAAACCTACTGGTTTAAAAACATCTGATACGCATGTCAATATATGTATTTCAAAACTAAAACAATCAATCTTGGTGCGCTTTTTTTGTAAATTATCAATCTTTAAAATCACTGATTAAGTTGAAGATTTTAAGTGTTCTGGAACACGAACAGACAGAGATGAGCAGCTGTTACTCTGACTGATTTCAGCTGGTGTTTGTATGTTTAATTACCAATGTCAATACGGTCCAATCCCCTTGACCGTTTACGTCCGTACTTCTAAGAAAACCTATAAAAATCAAATAAATGACAAATTTTGATTTGATTTTATATTCCCTGTAGAAATGTAAGAATAAATGTAAGAAATCAATATATTTTTTTCAAAAGGCGCAGATGGCTTCAGTTTATTCATTACAATTTATGACGCACATATGTAAGTAATTAAGTTTTTTTTTTAAATTTTTTATTTTTATTTTATTTATAGTTATTATTATTAAAATTTTATAAACATAAAAATATGAGTTTTATAAAACTAGATATTGCGTATATATAAGTGTGCGTTCTGTTCAGCAGAGCAATGTCGATCGTCATATAAAAAATAATATCGATCATTAGTAGGATATCAACAAACATGTCTATGTAAAGAGATAAAACATATGGCGTTGTCAGTAAGTAAATCAATGTAAATGAAGACGATTTCCTGGAATATAAATCATAAAGGACACAGTTGTTGTCGTACTGGTGCACAGAAATGCTCCACCTGGGGATTTTTATCTAAAGAAGTCATCACACTTCGGCATCTCTTCTCTTTATGGGGTTTTCAACAATCAAAATTAACCTTTCATAGCATGTTCTTAATCATTTAATTTCGATTTTTATCTTTCTGTATATAACTTTTCATGATTCACTGGGTATTAATTTTGGTTAGATATGTATCAGGACAGAGACGTACATCATCCCGAAATTTATCTTAATCAGGACAGAGACGTACATCATCCCGAAATTTATCTTAATCAGGACAGAGACGTACATCATCCCGAAATTTATCGAAATTTGTTCAAACTTATTTGATTATAGTTAATTCATCTGAATTTGATCAAACACTTAGTAACCGTAGTTAATTTATTTGACCAGGGACGTACATCATTACTAAAGTTCTATCTTAATCAGGACATATTTGATATATAATTTATCAGATTTAATTTATCTTAATCAGGACAGTACAAGACCAGATTTGATTTATCTGAAATTTATCTTAATACAAGACCAGATTTAATTTATCTGAATTTGATCAGATACATACAAGACCAGATTTAATTTATCTGAATTTGATCAGAGACGTACAAGACCAGATTTAATTTATCTGAATTTGATCAGATACGTACAAGACCAGATTTAATTTATCTGAATTTGATCAGAGACGTACAAGACCAGATTTAATCTATCTGAATTTGATCAGAGACGTACAAGACCAGATTTGATTTATCTAAATTTGATCAGAGACGTACAAGACAGATTTAATTTATCTGAATTTGATCAGAGACGTACAAGACCAGATTTAATTTATCTGAATTTGATCAGAGACGTACAAGACCAGATTTAATTTATCTGAATTTGATCAGAGACGTACAAGACCAGATTTGATTTATCTGAATTTGATCAGAGACGTACAAGACCAGATTTAATCTATCTGAATTTGATCAGAGACGTACAAGACCAGATTTGATTTATCTAAATTTGATCAGAGACGTACAAGACCAGATTTAATTTATCTGAATTTGATCAGAGACGTACAAGACCAGATTTAATTTATCTGAATTTGATCAGAGACGTACAAGACCAGATTTAATTTATCTGAATTTGATCAGAGACGTACAAGACCAGATTTGATTTATCTGAATTTGATCAGAGACGTACAAGACCAGATTTGATTTATCTAAATTTGATCAGAGACGTACAAGACCAGATTTGATTTATCTGAATTTGATCAGAGACGTACAAGACCAGATTTAATTTATCTAAATTTGATCAGAGACGTACAAGACCAGATTTAATTTATCTTAATTTGATCAGATACGTACAAGACCAGATTTAATTTATCTGAATTTGATCAGAGACGTACAAGACCAGATTTAATTTATCTGAATTTGATCAGATACGTACAAGACCAGATTTAATTTATCTAAATTTGATCAGAGACAGATTTAATTTATCTTAATTTGATCAGAGACGTACAAGACCAGATTTAATTTATCTTAATTTGATCAGAGACGTACAAGACCAGATTTAATTTATCTGAATTTGATCAGAGACGTACAAGATCAGATTTAATTTATCTTAATTTAGCAAGAGACTTAACATAGCTAATTATATATATTTGGACCGAGACGCATGACCATATACCAATGGTGTATGGACAAACCGCTTGGACATCAACCCAAATAAATCAACTTGAGATTGTCCATTTTAGACTACCGTCAAAAGTAAGGACAAGCGACGTTTTAAAATGTGGAAGTGTAGAATTAGAAGTAAATAACAAGTACGTTTACTTAGGTTTACTGTTTACCGAA